TGTACATGCAACACACACACACATACGCAAATTTTCAGATTTTTTTTTTTTTTTTTTATTGCCAGTGGGGTGGGACTAAGTCTCTTGTACTGCAGCCACTTCTGGCCTACTGTACCAGCCCCAGATGATAGGTGAGGGTGATTATGGAGCAATTGGTGGAAGGAAGATTGGCAGGGGAAACCGAAGTACTTGGAGAAAACCCGCCCTAGCGCCACTTTGTCCACCACAAATCCCACTTGACCAAACCCGGGATCGAACCCAGGCTGCTGCGGTGGAAAGCCAGTGACTAACCGCTTGAGCTATGACGCGGCCACAAATTTAAGATAAGTCCGTATTCTGTGTTCATGGTTATGTGGTTACCAATTACCAAGATAAAAGACACATGGTGATCAAAGTTGATATGATATATTTCCATTATTATTAAAGCACTGTAGTGAATTCTTACTGTCATAGTTTACTTTGTGTAATTTTATGGCACTTATAGTATTGAGATTATATACCATTGAATGGTAAGGTGATGATGATGATGAATTGGAAAGGCTTTAGAAGGAAGCAGTTGAAACCTAATCAAGGTAATATCCTAGAATTTACCTGGAGGGACTGAGTAAAACCACAACAAATCTATGTCAGGATAGCCAGTGTTTGGCACCTTCCAAATGCAAGTCTAGTGTTTTCCCTATTTGGGGGGTGGAGTCCAACTGGGTCCACTCAGCATGGCGGCCACTGATTGGCCTATTGTAGCCTGCCCCTGTATCAGGCCGTGAAGGCCCATAGGGTTGTGAGACGTTAATGGTCCCACATTACCTTGACAATCGGCTCGAAGATGGCGGTAAGGTTGTCAGCCCTACACGCCAGCCGCGCTTCACTCCCCAGGAAAATTATTTAATTAATTCCTGATACTCATTTCTGTTAGAGGCTGAGTAAACCCCAGGGCCTAGCGGCCTCCGTAGTCTAGAGGTAACGTTCCCACCTCATGACTCGTAGTACGCGGGTTCAAACCCGGCGGAGGTCGTGGAATTTTTAAGGGCGGAAAAATTCAGGGAACAAGTCCTCCGGGAGGGACTTTAAGCCGCGGGTCCCGTGTCGTAGCTTTACGGCACGTAAAAGAACCTCGTATCTCCTAAGGAGGTCACTGAGCCAAATTCAAGGACATTTCCCGCCCAACAGTAGTCTCTAACGCCTCTGATAGATGGGGGAAGCATTATAGATACCGCCAAGCCAGTAGAGGCCGAACTCGCTGGCTTGGTCGGGACCGATGGTAAGCACCAGTATCGGTAGGGTATAGAGACTGGTAGAATATCATAGAGGGAAGCACAATAGATCAAAACTGGTCGCAGTGCATGGGGAAACCCACCATCTCTAAATAACTAACTAACTAAACCCCAGGGCCTAGTGCGGCCGGAAGGATTAGGTCAATTGAAAAAAATCCAATGACCTCATCTGGACTTGAACCCGCGACCTTCCGGCTTGTAGCATAGTTCCTTAACCACTACGCTACTGCGTACCCTGGGGAAACCTAAGTACTTGGAGAAAACCCACCCCAGCGCCAATTTGTCCACCACAAATCCCACTTGACCAGATCCAGGATTGAACCCGTGCCGCCACGGTGGGAAGCCAGCAACTAACCAAAGTCTAATGTTACCACAAGACCAACCTGCTTAGTAACTTTCGGTTCTATCTCTGAAGATGGAAGTTATATATTTCTCTGTTATACTGGTGACAGCCTGTTTCTTAGTCCAGAAGCTTTTAATCTGCACCTCAGAGTAGAGCTCATGCATGGGAAATGATGAAGTATTAGCAAGCAGTAACAAAATATTTGAAGAGTGAGTTAGAATGTTGTGTAATTCCTAGTTTTAGTTTTAGTTTTCGCTTTGTGCTGTCATATTTCAGTCTCGTGGAGGTGGCTTTGAAGTAGAGATGTACTATCCACAATTGTTATGCAGTATGTAATTACGCTTACTCATGTTGACTTCTTCTATATCCATGTTCATGTATTCATGTATTCATGTTTTTGTAAATATTTATATATGGCTACTGTTATGACATTGCACAAATGTGATGCAGTATGTAATTATGCTTACTCATGTTGACTACTTCTATATCCATGGTGTTTTGAAAAAACCATGTAAGGATTTATGGAATGCTGAATAAATGTAATGTAATGTAATGTAATGGCGAAGAATCAATAAGCCCATTGATCGTCATCAGGGCCTGCTTGATTCCCTTGCCAAGCTTGTTGAAGGTCAGTTATTCATCATCACTAAGTTATATTAGACTGGGGTATAATTCTCATCTGGCTCAGTACTCAATACCCTGTACACTGATGAGTAACTTCTTCACCTCAAAGGAAAGTTCTGGTGCAGTCAGTGTCACCTTTCGGAGTACTCATTATGCTGAGCGATGTAATTCTTAATCCCCCCCCAATTTACTGTTAGCTAGATATATAGCATTGAGTGGTAGGATTATAGTTGAATGATGAATTTAATGGATCTGAAAGAAAGCAATTGTGGCTTAATCAAGGTATTGTGGCATATAGGCAGCATCCTGCGCACACAACAATGGAAGTAGTTTTGGAGGCAGTGTTTTCTCTGTGGTCTACTCCAAGGCTACATCACACAACCAACCAAGTTGCATCGAGTTCAGTTAGTGCATTGCACTGCAGGGTAGTGAAGAGCTGGTTGGTTCGTGAGTTAGAGAACTGCAGTTCAGTCATTATGAGGTGTTTTGCTGTTAGAAGTTGGTAGCTGAGGTGCAGGGATAGTTCGGGAACCCAGAGCAAGGGGAACTTCTGCCATTGGAAGCCATTACTGAGCAATGACTGGTGACGACTCAGCAGACTGAAAAGACTTAGTGTGTGTTGTAGTGAATTGTGGAGTGCGTATTAGTGATAGCACTATAGTTACTTGTAGTTACAATCTGGAAGTGTTCAATAAACCCGATTACCAATCCAAACACCATGTACAGTCGCTGATACAGTTGACAATATTATCCCAGTATTCACCTGGAGAGACTGAGGAAAACCACAAAGAAGCTCAGTATAACCATCCAGCCAAGATTTGAATCTAGCATTTCCTGAATACAGAGCTAGGTTGTTACCATTACAATGGCATGTTCAGTATAACTGTTATTGATTATTGTAAGCCAACATAAAGAGTGAGATTCCAGATTCTGACAGTGATGACTGTAAGGGATACTGTCCTCTGGGATGCGTTTACATGCTCTGCTTACACTTCAAACCTGAAAACAGAAGAAGTATATTCCTTCAGAAAGTCAGTGAAATTCTATCAGACTGCATGATATCACATTCCAGAAGATAAGTAGTCTTTCAGCACACAAAGAATTGATTTTAAGAAAAAATATTTTTTATATCAGGGCTGTTCAGCTCACGGCCATGTATGGTCCACCAGTTGAGTTTTTACAGCCCCCTTCCATTTCCCAAAATATATGTTAATGCTTCCTTAACTTTAAAAAAAAATTCTGAAGATGTTGAAGAATTGTTACAAAAAATGCCTACTAAATATTGTATAATTTTTCAATTTATTTTACATGACATGTAATAAATAGCTTGATACTTTATGAACTTAGCATGACTTCATGATTGTGTACAATATCAATGCAGCCTAGGAAACCTTTCACAGCTGGTATGTATTTTTTTTTTTATTTCTAGTGGGGTGGGACTAAGTCCCTTGTACTGCAGCCACTTCTGGCCTATTGTACCAACCCCAGATGATAGGTGATGGTGATTGTGGAGCAATTGGTGGAATGAAGATTGGTAGGGGAAACCGAGGTACTCGGAGAAAACCTGCCCCAGCGCCACTTTGTCCACCACAAATCCCACTTGACCAGACCTGGGATCGAACCCGGGCCGCCGCAGTGGGAAGCCAGTGACGAACCGCATGAGCTATGGCGCCAGCTGGTATGTAAGAAATATTAATGTAACAAGATCAATTTAAACTAATATTTTTTAACTTTACAGGTCCAATTCCTGTTTGTGTGCATCACAGAGCCAATCATAGCAGGACAGTATTTGTATCAGTATACTGGAGGAAATGTAAAAATATATTTTTATAATACTGTTCATGGTTAGGTATGTAAGGCACAATGCTGGTTTGAAATTGGACAGCCCATTTTTTTATATATATATATATATATAGGGATTGACAAGTGTGCTGCAGGTAAAAAAAATCACCTTCAAGAACCTAAGCAATAGTGGTATAACAAGGTAAAGCTATCACTGTAATAGGCTGTGGAGGCCCATAGGGGTTTGAGACGTTGAGGCCCCCACATTTTCTAGATAATTGGCTCACATGTGGTGGTAAGGTTGTCAGCCTTTATGCACCAGCCACTCTTTACCCCCAGTAACATTCCTGGTACTCATTTCTGTTAGAGGCTGAGTTGACCCTAGGGCCATACTGCAGCTGGAAGGATTAGGTAAATTGAAAAATCCAGTGACCTCATCAGGGACTGGTTGTATCACTATATAAAAATAAAGCGGTTACGTCTATTTAGAGACGTCTCTTAAAGTATTTTATGTCATACAGAGGAAAATGAGGAACTGGTATAGCGACTGCCTACGGGCTGGACGTCATGAGTAAGTTACTAGTGAGGCTAGTAACGATTAACCTGTCAGTTTCAATCTAGCAGTCACCGAGCCGCATTGTATCGAGTGCATGGCAGTGACTACAGGAGAAATATTTGTAATACTGCCGATGGCAGTAATTGTGAGATTGTAAATTGTGTGATTGTAAGAGTGGATGTGCAATAAATTCGCTACATTCAATACGGCGTAAAGTTATTTGTCGCATAATATATACCCAACACGTGACAATATCTTAACTTAAATCTGAGAGTTTACTGTTTTTATTTTGTAAATTTACTTCTTCTTTTCTTACATATCTATTTTAAATAAATATAGAGAAGTTGTTTATGAAGTAAGAGACGCCTTTCACATATCTTTCTTTCTTCTAGCATTAACAGTTCTGTAAGCGGCGCTGGACAGCGAAAAAGAAAACCCCAGTTACACCGAGGAAACTGGCAACCGCAACACGAAAGGCGCGCCACTGCACATCTGTGTCTGAGCTCAGTTGTCTGTGGACCTTGTGGACTTCCGTGTTTTGTGACGTTCCGTGATGTGGACGGTGTCTGTGGAAATGTGGATGTGTGGAGTACGGTGAAGTCTGTTTTGCGTTAATTTTGAAGCCAGCATGGAACCTCTGTACCTGCAAACAAATCGACTTGTTCAGGAGACTCAACAGTGTTTTGAAAAACTGGAAAAAGGTGGTGACGCTAATTCAGATGCAATTGAAAGAGAAATTCAAGCGAGAATAGACTCTATCACGAGGTGGGTACCCATGTGGTGTATGATGACAGATGATTTTGATACAAGATCGTATCATTATGAAATTTATGCGTGTTATTATTATTATCATTATGTTCTATATCATTGTATTGTCAACAAGATAAAATAAAAGTTAATGAATGAATTTTTTCCAGCAACTGCGAAAGATTAGAAATTCTCATTTATAAAGAACCACTGAATAGGCGAACAAATGGAAAACTACGAATTGACCAACTAAAATATGACAGGATGCATTTACAGGTAAGACCGACACTCCGCTTGATCATTCGGGAGAAAGCTTAAGAAAATAATGGACAAATGTATGCGTCACTTATTATGAATTTATTTAATGAATTGTAATCTGCCAAATCATTGTCGTAACTTGATTATTTTTTATGGTGAGGTGTTGTTAGCCCCACCCCCGACTCCCAAGCTGGAGGACCACCCCTTGTCGGCTGTCCGCGACTACTTATTCAATATATTCACAGCTTTCCCTCCAAACCTGGAGGGCGTCTCTTCCATCCACAACCTGAGGATGCACCATGCAGTGGTGACAAGGGACCCACGATAAAATTGATGACATAAAGGCCAGGTTCTATGAAGCCATGGTTCAATGAAGGACACTTAAATTACTATAGTCCATTCGCGGAGACAAGACAGCGTAAACAAAGCAAGCCCCGAGTCGCCACAGCTGACAGCAAGGAGTGGACAAAGCGCGCAGTTACTCAGTGTACTCACTGCATTCGGACACACGTTAACCTGCATTCAGACTGAAAAGTGAACTTTGGACGCCCCTGCAATGATACACACATCACGTGATCGCTGCATGTTTTCATTCAAAGAGCCAAGGAGATACCGCGTGCATTTGTTTATGAGTACTCTCTCGTCTCCGCGAATGGACTGTAGGTTGTTTTCATACATTTCATGTAATGTGGAACCAAGATAGCGCAGTCGATGTAGCAACTGGCTACAGGCTGGATGGCTGAGAGGTTGGAGTGTGAGTCCAGATCGGCGCGAGATTTGTCTCTTCTTGTTATCAATACCGGTTCTGGGCCCCATCCAGCCTCCTATTCAATGGGTAAAAGTAAAAAAAGTAAAGCTGTCCCTGTAACAGGCCGTGAAGGCCCATAGGGTTGTGAGACGTTGAGGGTCCCACATTATCTAGACAATTGGCTCAAAGATGGCAGAAAGGTTTTCAGCCCTATGTGCCGGCCGTGCTTTACTCCCCAGGAAAATTATTTAATTAATTCCTGGTACTCACTTCTGTTAGAGGCTGAGTTGACCCCAGGCCATAGGGAAGCTGGAAAGATTAGGTCAATTGGAAGAAAAGAATTGAATGACCTCATCGGGACTTGAACCTGCAACCTTCCAGCTTGTAGCATAGTGCCTCAACCAACTATGCTACTGTGTGCCCCCTCCTGTCCGATGGGTACTGGAGGTAAACGGGGTGTGAAGCTGGCCACTCGCCTCCAACTAGTGCCGATGTCAAAAAATATATGGATTGATTCAATCACTCCCCACATGGCTTCATGGTGTAGCAATTAATTAGTGAAGCACAGGGACAAATTTACCTTTCTTGCCTTTTTTATATAATGCTGAATTTGACTGTTCTTCTGCACACAATTTACATGACGATAAATTACTCAAAATTACTGGGTTTCTTGACTTTGTCCTTTGTCCGGAATTCTAAAAACTAGAAAACAGTGTTTTTGAAACTGGATTTTGATTGAGGTTGGCTCTTTCTAAGGGACCTAACATTGCCACAGTATGGTGGCCCAGAGTTAAACTCAAGACAAGCAAGGCAGAACTTAGCAAATTGCAAAGGTTGGCTTGCATGGGGATCACAGGAGTAATTTGAACATCTCCAACAACTGCACTGGAGACACTCCTTGGACTCCCCCCACTGCATGTACAGTTGGATGCAGAGGCCAGGGCAGAAATCTACCGTCTCCAGTGCAGTGATCAATGGAAACCTAGATCCGATAGTTTCGGACATGCATACATAACTCAGGACATGAAAAAAGAACCCATATTACAAATGGGGTCTGACAAAATGATACTGAGACATGTATATGAAAAACCCTTCACAGTCAGCTTTCCTGACAGGAGTGAATGGGAAGACGGGTTTCGGCCCAATAAAAAAGGAGGACTGATCTGGTATACAGAAGGTTCCAAGATAAATAAGGGCACTGGAGCTGGTGTGTACTGCTTTGGCACGAGGTGTAAACTTAGTTTCAGCTTTGGGCAGTACAAGACAGTATTCCAGGCAGAAATATATGCCATTAAGGCATGTATTATGGAAAATCTAGATAGGAACTACAGAAATAGGAACATCTACATTCTATCTGACAGCCAAGCTGCACTTAAAGCACTTGACAAACACCAGATCAACTCAAAATTGGTCTGGGATTGCCACCAAACTGTCATGGAACTGGCCAGACATAACGGGGTACAACTGATATGGGTGCTGGGGCATGAGAGTATTGCTGGAAACAAAATAGCAGACCAATTGGCCAAGATTGGAGCTGAACATCTGTTCATAGGACCTGTGGCATCTCTATAGGAGTTGCCAGACAGGCAATCAGGGACTGGACAAATATGAACCACAAGAAATAATGGGTATCCTAAATTGGACTCAGGCAAGCAAAGGGACTCATACGAGGACCCTCTACTAAAAGAGAGAAGGAACTGTTGAAGTTAAACTGGAACTAGCTACGATGGGTGATAGGACGACTTACAGGACACTGTCACCTCAAAGGACACAAATTGGGACTAAGTAACAGTCCAACTTGTGAGAGGTGTCAAGAAGAAAATTAAACAGTCACACATCCTGTGCGAATGTGAGTCCTTAGCTTATTTAAGATTATGTCACTTGGGTCAATATTTTATGGAACCAAGTGAATATTTTGACGTCCCCACATACAAAATCCTGCGGTTCATTCAAAGCACATGATTGCTGAGGGGATAATCAGAAGGGGAGGCACAATAGATCACTGTGGTCACCGTACAAGGGCCAAGAAGGCCGTCCCCTTATACATTCATTCATTCAAGGGACCTAACATAGTAGGTGTCTGTGCCCTCACCAGAGGACAGAAACAGATCCAGTTTCTGAAATCTTTTGTTTTCTAGTTTTTAGAATACTGTGTGATGGATAAAGTCCAAAAACCCAGTAATTTTGAGTGTTGAACACCATCGTCTGAACCCTTTAGAATCTACATAACGATAAATGTTCAGCATTTTAGGTCCATGAAATTGAGGTGTTGTCTGATACACTTAATGGTGATAGATTTTGGATCTCACCATCAGATTGTACTACTACTTTGTACTGTATTTTGTGTAGGCAGCATTAGACACATACAGGAATCGCAGATACCAGCGTCTGCAAGAGGAGAGGGAACGTGAAGCCCTACTGAACCTGCAGTTCCGGCCCAGTAGCAGCCATGAGACCAGCATCCTCATGGACCACGGCCAGAAGCACCACACTTCCCTCCAGGTACTGCTGCAGGCTGTACTCATTCCAGTTATCACTAGTGGCTTTCTGCACCTCATCCATGGTCTTAGTATGTATGCACCCGGAATAGCTCACTAGGCTGCAGGCTGGATGACCAAGGAGTCAGGGTTCTTTTTCCGGTAGGGATGAGTTTTTCTCTTTGCCATAATATCCAAAGTGGCTCTGGGGACCACCCAGCATCCTATACAATGGGTGACAGAGGCTGTTTCCCTGGGGACAAAGTTGCCATGGCATGAAGCTGACCCCTCACCTCCATCTAGTGACAAGGTCAAAAATTGTGGAGCTATACATTCACTCCCCCATATATCTTCATGGCATAGTGCTTAAATAGTTAAGCACTGGAACAATTTTATATTTACACAATATATACTTACTTCCTGGGTCTATGATCCTCTAACATCCTTGGCTTCCTTTACAACAGGTCCCCATATTTTTCTACTGTAGCGACTCTCGGGAGTAAGAAACTTACACCTGTAACACGCATGGGGAATGTTCATTACAAATTGAAATTCTAAATATGGGATGGCAGAGTTTTTCTCTCAGCATTCAGAAGTGAATGAATGGGGCAGATTCATTCTAAAACATGTTAATACAGTTACCTTATTTAAAGTATTCGATGAGGCTGGAGAATCAGTGTACAGGGTGAACACAGATTGTCTTTACAACTTGATTCTCAAACAGAAATATTCAAGAAACAAGATACATAAATGCTTTCGAGCCATCGCGAAGGGAAAGTCATAAGGTTTTGCTGAGCCTAGAACACACGTAATGCTGACATCACATGTAAAGTAGTACCCCTGTAACAGGCCGTGGAGGCCCATAGGGTTGTGAGATGTTGAGGGTCCCACATTTTCTAGACAATTGGCTCACAGATGGTGGCAAGGTTGTCAGCCCTCTGCGCTGGCTGCCCTTTACCCCCAAGAATATTCCTGGTACTCATTTCTGTTAGAGGCTGAGTTGACCCCAGGGCCAGAGTGTAGCTGGAAGGATTAGGTCAACTGAAAACATCCAATGACCACATCAGGAATTGAACCCGCTACCTTCTGGCTTGTAGCATAGTACCTCACCCAACTATGCTACCGCATGCCCCCTGACATCACATGTCACACATAAAATGTCCAGACAGTATTCTCTCTTTCCATGTCCACTGCAAGATAATCACAGTGACTGACATTGTGAGGACTGACACCCAGCAGTGGTAACGCCCGTCAATTAGTGGGTGAAATTTTTATGACTTCCCCTCACAGATGGTGCAAGAACAGTATGTGTGTCTGATTTCTGAAACCTGTTTGAGACTCAGGCTGTAAATGTAATTTGTGTTTGTCCTGTACAGTAAGATTTTTATGCTTTCTATACATGTGACATTCTTCTGTCCCACTGTCTCTCAGAATTGTATGTGTGTTTTCACTTGCAGAATGCAAATCGTGGAGTTGACGACTTACTGCAGTCTGGTGCAGGAATTTTAGAAAGTCTACAAGGTCAGCGGGTGACCATCAAAAGTGCACACCGACGTCTATATGACATTGCAAATACGTTGGGATTGTCAAACACAACAATGCGTTTCATAGAAAGGCGAGCATACCAGGACAAATTTATACTGTTTGGTGGAATGGTGTTTACCCTCATTGTGATAGGTCTAATAGTCATCTACTTTACATAACAGCAGACAACGCTGTGTGAAGTCTGCACCTCTCTGCGTGATTTGCTAAGCCCAAGAAGTAATTTCCTAAAGACAATGGATCTCTCACCTGAGGGTGTCAGTGTTATCTTGCTTCAGAAGGCCTTGTAAATGTGTCAGTACAGTAAAGTACATATAAGTTATTGTAGACTGCCACACTGTTGTTAAATTGGGGACCAAACATTGTAGTCAAGTGGGCACCACACCTGCTTCATGTATAGGAGGTTTTTCCCAGTTACCTCAATCCCTGCAGAAGAATGTTGGGATAATGCTTTAAATTGGTCAGCAGCTGCTCCATTCCATATTGCCTATTAATTATTTACTGATTGCCTTTCAGTTCATTGCCTCAGACAGGTTTCTTTCCATCATTTGTGGTTTTGTTGCCACCTGTTCATAGAGTGTTGCCAGCTAATGGGTGGCTTCCTAACAGTACAACAATAATGTGCTACCATACAAGTCTAATTGTAGGTCCCGTTTATACTCCATAAATATGTTTTCCTCAGCCACTTCACATCTCCACAGGTAAAAGTCAGATCTAGAGAAACTTAACATAAGCCATGCTGTAACATAAACAGACCACTGCTAAGATAAGAAGCACAGTTCATTTCTGAGAATCACTGCATGTTTGTTTTGTTGTTCATAAACGTTTGTGGTGTCTGTACATAGTCACAATACAGAATAATTACTGAGAATTATGAGTATTTTTGGCAGGACAGTGTACCAGCAAACATTACAACAATTAAATGCTGACTCTTTGAAGTGTTACAAAGTGGATAATTTTCAGTCCAGTGTGACATACAAGTTTACAGCACTTCAGTCTTCATTCACCTTACATGTTTCGATTCAAAAGAATCATCCTCAGAGGCACCCCACTACAATCAGGAAACACTGTCACATTTCAATTTGTGATGAAAGTTGAAACAGAAAGATTTGAGGCTTTCACGGCGGTGACTATGAAGAAAGCAGTCTTCTGGGATTTGGCACCGTGTATATGTGGTGTTAACCGACGTTCCTCCGAAACGTCGGTTAACACCACATATACACGGTGCCAAATCCCAGAAGACTGCTTTCTTGAAACAGAAAGTTTACAGAAACAACCCACACTTACAGATCAATTTTTATAATGCTCTTGCAGACATCACATAAGGTGACCTTCAGTGTTTCGCAGAATTTCTCGTGCCAGTTTGAACTGTGTTTGGATATTTGCAGATGCCACTTTAAGCAGATGTTATATTGTCAAGTAGGAAAAGTGGCTTTATTGAAAATATTAATAAACTTAGATGAACCCTGCAATTAGGTCCATGCAATAATGTTGATGTATTCCACGGGATTGGCTGAACCCGCAAAAGATCACTTCCCGTGCATCTTGGAATGGTGTTATTGAGGCTTGTTCTGGACACAATATATAGGTTAGTCCTAGTTGAGGAGTCAAGATGTACAGATCTGGGGTTTATGAAGTGTAAAGTTGATTACAGATGTTACAAAAGTACAAGCTTAATAGTGTTAAGTGTTATGAAGATACATGGTCAGGGACTTTCTCCATCTGACAGAATTATATGAAATTCAAATATGCAGGATCATGGTTCGAAACAGTGTTCTGATTCCATTGCCTCTGTCATCAATGATGCTTGTAGAATATTCTGTAGTGTGTAGTTTACTCATAGCCAGTATCACCCTCGCCATGTTTAAAATCCTGATGCTTAGAAGACTCCCACCTGTGTCTTGTCTGAAAACCCATAATGTACTAGAGCAACTATAAACGGGGTTTTGGATTGGTAATTGAATTTATTGGACCCTTAAAAAACTCATGAATACATTTTACAAATCACTGTCATACACCGACTAGTGTTCTCAGTTACAGCCTTCACTGTGCTGCTTGGTAATAGCTTCCAACAGTTGCTGTTTGTCTGCTTCTGGGCTCACGTCCTTGCAAGCTAGCAATCATCTCACAGCATCCTCCTACTCTTCTAACTGTCATCTCAATACTGTCTTGTAATGACAGCTGACCGCCATTATATTTCCTCGGCACAGACCACACAGAAAACACTTCTTTCAACAGTTTTGTTGTTGCATGTATCTCTGTTGCGGCGATCACGTGACAGCTACTGAGTCATTGCCTAGTAACAGACATGTTTGCAGAGCCGTTCCTTAGCAAAGGCTGTCTCTGCTGGCTTCACAATTCTGGCTTTCACCAGACATGCCACAATATCATGTATTCACTACAGGCCAACTTCCTGTCCCCTTGTTTCAATGAACCGTCATACATTTCTGTGAGTAATATTAACTGAATGTAGCTACCTAGTTCCCTTGCCNAATTGCAGCCGCGGCGCGCACTTGATTGTACGCACTGTATAATATCAGACCCTCTTTACAACTGTTTGCATCTAGGTAGATATATGATACATAAGTTCCCATAATTATGTCATGTACCCAGGGATGAAACAGCATATGAAATGTTAAATTCTTGTCAGAAAGAAGCCACCAACTAGCTGAATACCTGTCTAAGGACTGACATTAATAAGGCCAAAAATGAAGGAATGAACCTGTCATCTATATATAGTATGTGTTTTTGGCTGTCTCGTTAAATGAACTAAATATTTCAGTAAGGTGGGAGACAGTGCAGAGATTCTATCAATATTGTTACTTGAAACCACTGGATTGTACTGTAAGGAAGTGACTAGGAGCTACATTTGAATCCATATGTATAGAGAGAATGGTCATTAAACTTGTTGCACAGGATTCTGAGTATATTCAGTTTCTCAGCGTATGTTTTGTACATAGTTATAAAATATTTTAAGGCCTAGTGGTTATTATATGTAACACATGCTTTAATATACTAACTCTGCGTTCTGCCCACAGAGTGTATATATGTGTTTGTATGGTTCTTACAATAAACAACTACTGTTTCCCTAAACAGCATTATCCAGTTGGTCTTTGTAGGTGAGATGTAATGTGTCTTTCCTCTGAGGTATGAACTGAATTTTTATATGTACTATATAAAAAATTCAGTCTTAAAGGGATTAAATGGTCATAAAAAGGGATGTAGTTCTAAAAAGTACAAGCTGTGGGCAGGCTGGGTTGGAAGAAACTGGCATCAATCATAATATGAGGCCATTCTTCTTGTTGCTGAAATAGTAACTTCACACATTCAAATGCATAATTGAACAGTGGATAGCATAATGCTTAAACCTCAGATAGAGAGGTCAAAAATTAAATATGCCATGATTTATGTATGTCTTCATTTTTAAAGTAACACACTGACACCCAAGAGAGCACCAGGATTCCTCCATGGACCACCTTCGCTCTGCTACAGCCCTGGTCATGAAAGGGGTCTTGATAAAAGATAAAATAAGTTGGTAGAATTATAGACTGAAAGCTCTACCATGCCATTAATAAAGTTTTTTTTAGTAAAGAAAGAGCTAAATGAAAAACAAAAATGGTAATATCCAGTTCAACATATACTCCAACACTATTATATGGAAGTGAGTCTTGGGTAACAACAGAGAAACAGAAGCCAAACGTACAAACGTCTGAGAACAGCCATGGGAAAGATAAGAAGAGAAAATATGAAACCAAATGATTAGGAAGACTAGGGTCCCAGCCAGTACAAATTAAAATAGAACAAGCCCAACTCAGATGGTTTGGACACTTAGAATGGATGAAGAAAGACTGACCAAACAGGTTTGGGAACCAATGACAGAAGGACTAGAAAATAAATGACCTAGAGGAAGGCCGCGCAGAACATGGAATGATAATATACAAGAAATCCTTACAAAAAAGAACATCACCTGGAAAGAAGCCAAGAAGTTGTCTGAAGACAGGACTACATGGTAGGCTCTCTGCAAAACCTCGATGCCATAGGTTATAGAGGAACTTCCAAACATTTTATGGAACCCAAAGGTTCATTACCATGTTCACAAGAGCCCTCCACTGGTCCCTATCCTGGGCCAGATCAATCCAGTCCACACCAACACATCCTATCTCTCTAACATCCATTTTAATATTATCCACCCACCTACATCTTGGTCTTCCTAGTGGTTCTTCCCTTTTGCCTTTCCCACCAATATCCTATATGCATTCCTCTTCTCCTCCATTCATGCTACATGCCCTGCCCATTTCATCCCCTTTGACTTTATCATTCTCATTATACTTAGCATGAGTACAAGTTATGAAGCTCCTCATTATGTAGTTTTCTCCAACCTCACATCACTTCATCTCTCTTTGGCCCAGATATTCTCAACACCCTCAGTCTATGTACCTCCCTTAACCTTTAAATGCCGGACTTCTGAAATAGTGGTAAGCTTGAGCTGGCTGGAGTTTATTTAAATGCCCGTTGCTACTCTGCGTTTAAATGCCCGTTTCTGTTGGTGTGCCTAAACAATTTAAGCTTTGTGTTTAACAATGCTGTATCTAACTCAATTTTTATGATAAATGGATGGAATTAATTTTGTCTGTATCAGCAAAGAACATAGTGTCGCATATTATAACGGAAGATTTGAAATTTGTTATACAAGTTATAATCTATTTTCAATATTTTGTCTTTTAATTTTGATGAGTACTGCATAAATGGTTTCTCAGTTCTTCACAGAGTTGTTCTGCATTAAAAATCCATTTCTGTTTGTAACAATTGACAAATTTTAGCAGTCCCTGATGTCATAAAACAGATGGAAGCCATAAAATCATTTGGTCTTCTGCTAGCACTACTTACACTCTTCAGATTTTCGAATCTTTTGACTGAAGGTCAGAAGAATGAAAGAATGGCTATTCAGGAGAAAGCTAGAGGGGTCCCTTCTTCAGTGCTAAGACCTTCCATTATAGCTACAAAAGCTTATTGCCCTTTCTATGGGCCTGAACAGACAGCTGCATCGCGGCTGAGATTCAGAGTGCAGTCTATTTTCTGTGCGTGCTTAGTGAAATCGAGTACTGTAGTTTTATTTCAGCCTATATATACATCAAGCAGATAACAACAAAAAAGGTATGTACATCGAATTTTACTATATATTTTTAACTAATTATTCTGCAGAATCTGCAATAAAAGTAGTGGCTCGTGGATGAGTTTGGGCATAACTCATACGTATACTCTTTTTGTTGTTGTTCAGTTGGGTATCATTTTAATTTTTTCTATAGGGCTTTACTCAAGTCTGTCTGGTAATTACTACATTTAAAAATAAATATTTTTAAAGACTGTGCATGCGCTTCTACTAGCAGCGGGTGCGCGCGCTTCCCCTAGCGGAGTTTAAATGCCTGACTGGCCAAAACGGGGTACTTTGGCCACGACGACCTTACTCACCACTGGCACAAACGGGGCACTTCGGCACTTAAAGATTGAAGTCAGAGACCCAAGTTTGACACCCACTCAAAACCACAGTTAAAATTATAGTTTTGTATATTCTAATTTTTATGCTTTTAGACGGCAGACAGGAAAGTGAAAGTTTCTGGGCTGAATGGTAGCAAGCATTACTCTTCAGTCTAGAAACTTTTTCTTCTCATCTGCCCTGTGAAAGCATAAACCAGACTTGTAAATGGAAATGGCAAAATGTCAAGAAGGTAAGGAAAATAAAGCATATAAAATAAAATAATGCAATAAGCTGAAAATACTACAAAACATATTAAAAAGTGAAAATGGGGGAAAGGAGAGGAGGTGAGAAGACCAAATAAAACTGAAATGAAAAGAATCAAACTAAAAGTAAATGAAGTAACATACATTAAGGATGAAAATATAATAAATAGAATAATACAAAAATCAAACTAAAGAGAAAGGTAACAGTACAAGGAAGGTGAGATAAGAAGAGTAGCTGAAAATGAAGGAAAAAGAATGAAGCCTTGGAATGGGAAATATCCATAAAGCCAAGTTATAGTGCATCCTATGAATGAGGTTTCCTGCATTCCTTCAGGCAGTAGATGCAAGGTTTCCATGATTTGCTTATGCTTAGGCCATCCTGTTCATCTCATTGGACTCAAGCTCAGCCTTTACTTCTACCCCATGATGTGATCCACGTACAATCTGGATTTGGTGTCCAGCATACTTTTATCCTTGAGCTGGATGCAGTCTCCTGTGTTTTGATTTCAGTTTTATTTTGTATTCTCAGCTGTCTCTTCCCTGCAAATTTTTCAAATTATGCTGTAAAAGAATTTGATAAATCTATCACATGTTGCACTCATCTGAAGTTTACTGATATAATCATGTGAGAGAAAGTAGTTTAATGTGTGTCTCTCTCACAGATAGGCACATGTCTTCTGTGCCCCAGGATCTCTTGGGCCAAAACATATCTCACTTATACACTCGCCACACATTCCATTCATGGTTCACGTGTCACTGTGGCTTGTAGCAGGGAGTTGATTGATTTCATGGTGACATGTGTTTGAACATAAGAAAGTTCAAAAATAAGTTTCCATAAGCTTCTTCTGCCATTGTATGTCACAAAAAGCTATTCTTTTGAGTCTTTGGTGTGTGCATTATACTGAAGATTTATGCAGGGTGTAAATAAATATATGTTACAACGCTGTATGGTAGATAGATGGATTCAATTTGATTATGTTTTGTTAATGCACCAATGTCCAGACACGCTTCCTTTTGGCACCAAGGGTCACAAAATTTCTGAGAGGATGGGCAAGTTTTAGTAGATGTTATCATTGTTTTACATTATAAAAGTTGCTCAAAATGGTGGCTGCCGACTTCATTGCATGTTCTGCACCACCTGGCCATGTTATGCTGAGCTGTTTGGAAGATTCCCAGCATCTCCTAGATGGTTCCAGCTGCTACTGTAATTCTTGCCACAAGATCATGTTGAGTCTCCACTGGTGTCTCATACATCAGTCTTTGCATGTGCCCCCAGAGAAAGAAATCCAATGGACTCGAGTCAGGGGAGTGAGGGGGCCAGGTTATTGAGCCTCCACGTCCAATCCATCTGTTGCCAAACGTTTCATCCAAATACTCACTGACAACAGTGTGCCGGTTCACCATCATGCTGGAACTACATATCAAGATGGACTTCCAAAGGCACCACCTCCAGCAGCTCGGGTAAAGTATCTTGGAGAAATGTTAGGTAAATGTCACCAGTAAGCCACAGAGGTAAGTGATAAGGGCATCTTCCTTCACATTTCAGAGGCCCTATGTGTAAACAAAGCATTTCCAGACATGGGTGTATTAACAAAATGTGATCAGGTTGTACCCATCTACCTACCACTGGCATGGTAATATATATTTATTTACAGGGTGTCCAGGAGGAATGGTCAAAACTTCGGGAGGGTGTTCCTTATGTTAAAGTATGCCGATATAACCCAGAACACCTATGTCCAAAGTTGAACGGTTATGGAGATAATGGGCCGAGAAAAGTGTGGTCTTCTTGTGGGTCCACGCACTGTACCTGTCAGCTGAGACGCCTTATCTATGTTTGTCCTTGAGTGCGATGATTCACACTAGCCGTAAGCTCATTTGGCTCATATGCTACCTACAGAGCCTACAGACTACGTTGCGGCAGCGTCGTGAATGGATGGTAAATTACGTGTAGTGCGGAGTTGCTGAAATGCCTTTTGTGTTCTCACACGTTGAATATTCTGATATGCATTTTGTGTATGGATTTTGCGGTGGCAGTGCACGTGCTGCTGTTGAAGAGTACCAAAGGCGTTTTCCCGATCAAAGGATTCCATCTTGAAGTGTATTTACACGAATTCACCAGACATTGCGTGATACTGGTTCTCTTCCGAGTGTTTCTGTGCACTCTGAAAGGGAGGATGTACGAATGATAAACACACGAGACAACATTCTTGAGATGGTTCAGAGAAGTCCGTGTCTGTTCACTCGTAGAATGGCCTCTCGCATCGGCGTATCACATATGCAGGTGTGGCGAACTTTATGTGATGAAGAGTTGTATCATTACCATGATCAAAGGGTACAACATCTGGAACCAGGCGACCATGCACACCATATGGATTTGTGCCACTGGATAAAAGCTCATCCCGAACTGTTAAGTGTCGTTTTATTCAGTGATGTGGCGTCTTTTACCCTGGACGGTGTAAATAATTTACGAAATGTGCATACGTGGTCCCATAATAATCCACGAGATAATGGAAACGAAATTCCAAAAGAGATTTTCCGTGAATGTACGTTTAATACAGTTATGTGGTCGGCTTATAGCGCAGTCAGCCATGTTACATCAGCGCTTGCCAGTCATGTGTTATGTATAGTGCTTGGAAACCCTAAGGATAATTATGACATGGTGAGCGAGTATTTTATACTTCAATTTTATGGCTTCATGTCACTCACAAGTTAGTTTGATGTTACATACATTATTAACATTACAGAAACCACATATTCCTGCCAGTTTTAATATGTATTTTGTACTCAACAAGTGTGTAACAGTGGTCAAAGTTTCACGCTTCTCTGGCCATTATCTCCGTAACCGTTCAACTTTGGACATAGGTGTTTTGGGTTATATCAGCATACTTTAACATAAGGAACACCCTCCCGAAGTTTTGACCATTCCTCCTGGGACACTCTGTATAATGCCAGCCAAATTTTAGGCCCCTGTGACTATTCTCCTTTGCTCATAATTCTCCATTTCCCTGATCCCAGTACTTATTTCAGCACTTTGTGGTTTTCTTTTTTTCTGTTATTATCCCAGCCACACTAATGTCTTCTGTTATTAAATATATTTACATGTATAACTTGAGGCCGGTGTGTGATTTTGTTTTATTCAGTCACAATGCTGTTTCCTGTGATGCTCATGAAGTCTGCCTGATATTTCTAACCCTAGAACATGTGCAGTGTGTAAATTTATCATCCTCTTCACCTGCTAAGGGATGGGCCAGGATAGTGCAGTCAGTATAGCTACTGGCTGTGTTGGACAGTTGAGGGTCCGGCGCAAATGTCGTAAGTGAATATGGCTGACTTTCCTCATCATTGAGTTGATGCTTGGGAAAACCTTCTGTTCTCTGTGTTGCATTCTCCACATTTAGTATGCTTAATTAAAAATGTGAAGATAACCTCCTTTGCCTACTGTGTCTTGTCCTTGCAGTTGATATGAAATAAAATAAAGTTACTGATGAAAATTAGATGTTTCACCCTTCAAGCTCAGAACATCATTAATGCCAAAACATGAAGTAAAACACTGAACATTGGAAGTGCAATGTGGTAACACCACTGTTGGACACCTCCAATACAAAGGTGTTGCTAGAAAATTCATGGAATGACTTTTTGAGTAATTTAAACTCAATGCACCAATTAATTTCTGTTGACCCATTTAAAGGAGATCCATTTGGCTACCACACAGGAGGATCACTTTCAGCTTGCATGATGAACGCTGCTGTACCTCATGACCCAAGTTGCATCCATTTGAGCAGAGTTTTGGGAACAGGACTTTAACACAGTTTGGGAGAAGAACGAAGATGTTCATCAGAGAGATTCATTTTTGTATCAGAAGTTGCCTCACCAATACTGCAGTGTCAGTCAGTGCATTGTCTTGTTGCAACATGCACACACAAATATGAGAGGTACCCTTTTTTAGCCATTCCAAATTTTTCCTGCTATCATTTTGGTAGTCATTCTATGGTATATACAAATTTTGATGCCTTTTCAACATTTTCATAATTGTTTTGCTCTTGTCAGCCAGCCTGACATATTGAGAATCATCACGGACACCTGCTCTTGCTTCAGAAAATTATTTCTGCCACTTGAAAATTCATCCCTTAATCATTGCAGAATCACCAAAAACTTATGATTTGTAACTTTTTGATGCTTGTTTTCTTAAATTTCACCAGGTTCATTAAAAGAATTATGCGTATTTACATCATCGAAGCGCACAGAACTTTCATATAACTGAGTACTCTGAAACACAATAAATGCACAGGAATGCATGATCCCTCAAATAATAGTTAAAGGAACGTGTTACAACATATACTGACAAGTATGAGGCAGGACATGACAGCAGTGCTCCATTGCAGCTATTCCTGGAAGATTCTAGCCACACGTCATACAACACAAGTAAGTGACTCTACGAGGCTTCCAATAAGAAAGCTACAGGGTTACGCATTATAAATCACTGTCTGGTGAATAAGTGGACATTTTGCTTGGCACATTTTTATTTACAATGTTGTAACAATATGTAATTAATGACCCCAAGAAATTACATTACAAAACAGGCTACAAGATCCCTGTAATATAAAGAACTATTAAGTTAGTGCTTAGGAACTTAGTCCACAACCGCGGTTGTGCTGTAGCTGATTTCCGTTGTCGCCGTCTTCTGGCTGTAGAGGTGTTCTGGGCAACATACTCCAGCAACACTGCACAGAGAAACAGTGTTTAGTCACAGCGCAAATCAAGCATTCACCAAATGGGTGGTACAGCAGTAACACTCCAGACATCTGTTTGGGAAGTGCTTGGTTTGAACCTTGGCTGGGTCAGTGGCCACAACTGCTTCCTTCCACATCATTTCCAATTCATTATTCATGAATCATCCTGCCAATGGGATCCTGACATCCTTGTAAAATAAAGCACAAACCTATACAAGACTGACCTTCATATTCAGGAATGTAAGCACTGGACATTATGATTCAGGAGCACGGATACCGTGATTATTTACAGCTGAAGCAGAATTCACTGATTCTTTTCCAAAAGCTACACACTTAAAATTTAATCATAAAAATGTTATTTATTCTGAATTATAATGTTACAATCTTGCTCATCATTTTGCTGCTTTATAACAAATAAAAATTATTAATAAGAAAATGTTTGTATTTATAATTACATTAAAAGGCTTCAGTTGCTACTCACTACACAGAAGTCTTGTTTTTAACTTACGGTTGCATCTCCTATTATTGTTATGTGCTTAATACATTTTCTGTATTTTTCGGCTCAGATGTTACGCATTTAATTAAAACTGAGCACTGAGTTTGGCAAACAGTATTAACAAAAAGTAGTAATACATTTGTTTGGTAAACATCTCTCCAGCCCATAGCCCAGTAACTATACTGACTGAATTGTCTCAGCCCCTATTAGCTGGAACAAGAATTATAGTATGCTCTAAGACTGAATGGGTTCGTTGAGGGGTAACTTGTGTTGGTTTGAATCTCAACTGGACACAAGCTATTCTGACTGAGGATTTCAGTGGTTTTTCTCAGTCCCTTCAGGCATTTGTGTGGCTAGTACCTCGATTAGACCATAGCCGCTTTCTTCAAAATCTAATTCATGTATTTTCTTCCCAACAAACACTGCATACCCTTGATACTGAAAGCATTGTTAAATAACCTATGGAAAAGAGTATATTGCAGGACTCTCAGTATTCAGTATGTATCCAGACAGATATGTGTAGAGTTTATGTTAAAAATCAAATTACCTGTCACTTGTACAGAAGTACTGTTTCAGGTAAATGTCGAAGTCATATCTGAAGACTCGTAGTACACATTGTGGTAAAGGAACACACACTCCGTCTCCTGCATAAGCACTTGTTGTACATGCAACTTCGCCTACAGCGGTCTGTGGACAAGGTCAGTATTAAAACCTTGAAGGCTACTCAGGAACTTAATTTAAGGATTACTGAAGACCCTATTTACACAAACCTTTTCTTGGGAATTACAACATGTGTTACAAATCATGCAAATGTGTATTTACATGTTTTTAAAAAGGCATCAAAATGATCTCTAGATTTGATAGTGTGGGTATGCTTTTAGCTGAGTTAATGAGCATATTTCACAGAGATTTTGTACAACCTAAATCATCTAAGGATTTCTGGCTGCATTCTGGTTTCTTTGTTTGCCTTTTCAGGCATGCATACAGGACAGTCTTCTGTCCTGTGACAAGGCTTTTGTAAATGAGATATATAAGGAAATAATGAAGAGCCAGTCATCATACATTAAGGTATTTCATGACCAAAATGTTACGTGCATATCTAACATGCCACGTACTGATCACATGTACCACAGCTTCCACATTCATGATTTGGTAATGCAAGTAATACTGGATTAAGAGTATGAATTATGCTCATTACATAATTGTCTAGAGCACTATTTTGCAAATGGCGCTCTGCAGAGTGGAAGTAAGGGTTATGCTAGAAAATTCCATTGAAATGTAAATAATCGTAATTTAAATATTATTATATATTTCACTTGAAATAATTTTTGTTTTGAAACTTCTTTAAATTAGAAATTCTGCTTTCAAAGGATGAACTTAATGAACTAAAGTGTCTTTTTTGCCTCAGAGGAAAAAGCTATATCAAATTGTGGAGTTTGTAAGTTGAAACCCTTTCCCAGCACATACTTGTGAGAAACTGGGTTCTTGAATTATGAAGCAACAAAAACAGAATGCAGAAGCAGACTGTATGTAGTGCCAGATTTGACAAGTCAAGTTTACAGTTTCAAGCCAAACATGTAAAGAGTCTGTGATAAAAAGAAAAATCATTTCCAAGTATGTGCAGTTAAATCATATGTTTATCCCATTAAATTAAAGCTATTCCTGTAAGAGGCTGTGGATGCCTGTAGGGTTGTGAGTCATTGGGGCTCCCACATTTTGTTGACAGCTGGCTCGCAGATGGCAGTTCAGCATTATGTGTCGGCCACCCTTTTACTCCCAGCATTCCTGGTACTCATTTCTGTCTGAGGCCGAGTCGACCCCAGTGCCATAGTGTGGTTGGAAGGATTAGGGCAATTAAAAAATCCAATGACCTCGTTGGGATTTGAACCAACAACCTCCCAGCTTGTAGCATAGTGCCTCAAATAACTACGCTACAACATGACCCCTTAATTGATCTTATATCCTTGTTTAATATTTATTTATTGCCTTTTTTATTTGTGATGTAGTTTTTAACTTCATGTATACTAATTTTATTTTGATTCCATAAAAATTTCTCAGGTATAAAATGATTCCATGGTCAAATTAAACCGGAAAACGATGGTCTAGACTGTGTTCATGACCAGCAACTCTTCTAAATATAGATCTATGAGTATTGCCATACCTTGTTTAGTCCCAGCGTGAAGATGGTAGCCGTTCCATTCTCACCCAGTGGGAGCAGAACTCTGTCAGTTCCATTCCTAACTTCACTCAGCCATTCCAGGTCACTGAGGCTGTCCAGTATTTCACCTGCAACAGAAACCAAACACTGTAATGTTGTATGGAACTATGCCAAGTGCATCCAGCAAGGTGTGTTCTGCTTGCTTCCTGTGCCGGACACTTTCCTTCCAGAATTTTGACAGATCTGCAATACACTGTCTCCTCTTCTTGTTCCTGGTGCAAGTCTGAAATGACCTTGTCTTATAATCACTGTGTGGCCATGTGAAGAAGCAGTCTCTCTTCACAACTTCCTTCTCATTATGAAGAACTCAGAAAAATAAGTTGTGGCCCCTTCATGCCCAGCCTACCCATCTGACTGATGACTCACTTCTAGGGAACTCAAGAACATACTAACTTCTAGCTAACTTCATGGAGCTGAGGCCTTCTTGAGAAGCTGCCAGTTGTGCAGCTACTCACGAATTTCCTGGCATTTTATGGAACCTGAATGTTCAGTACCATGTTCACACGACCCCTCCACTTGTCCCTATCCTGAGCCAGATCAATCCAGTCCATATGACTACATTTTATCTCTTCCTAAGGACCATTTGAATATTATCCACCCATCTATGCCTTAGTCTCCCTAGCGGTCTCTTTCCTTATGACTATCAGCAAGAAGTGTACTGTGAGAGTAATTTATCATCTGGTGAATTATACCACTAAGTTAGAGTTCCCAGTTGTTTACGCAAGTGGCAACTGTGCAGGGTAAGTTCATAGGTTTTGTGCTCTGTTCTTCAATATTGCCACTATTATTTATCCCCCCCCCTATTCCAAGTCTTTCATAGTGGCCATATGGTCCAAGTTGTGTGTGGTTCTGGGCAGTTCAAACACTGCAGTCACAGTTTTGAGCCTGCTATCATGTTGTCCTGTGTTCTCTTGTGTAAGTAGAGGCCTTGAATGGGTTGGTCTCTCACACGAGGGGCCCCAACAAGTGTTTACAAGGTCATGCTTCCAGAGTTAATTCCAAATTGAACAAACCAGAGGGTCTGTGGAACAAATATTTTTAGCAATAAAGCAGAATTTTCTTTTAGAATACATATTGTATGACTTTAATATCTATTTATGTAGGAATATCATATTTCAGCATCCTTCTGCATTGATGTATCACTCTTTCACTCACTTCTGTCTCTAATGCAACCAAAATTAGTTCACAATCTCTCCTTTATTTTAAAATGCAATTAAAATCACGTTTAAGAAAGTCATGAGCTAAAAGTTTGCAGATTGTATAGTACCATACCATACTCTTTTCTGCTTGTGTTATTTCTGTCACCACTGTGGTGTATTTACCAGGATCCTCAGCAGTCTTTGTTGTTACTTCCATAGTTCTGGTGTCCAACCAAGTGGTCAGGTACAGTGGTGGCTCTGAATGCTCCAGGATGTCCAGTTCAGCTGCTGGAAATGCTTCTGCAACGGTATGTATGTCACCAAAATCACTTACATCACCATACATATTTATATATCCATGGTATTGGGGCTGATGTTTTTCTTGTGCAACAGAAAGCCCTGCCCCTGAAATGTCGAACCGATCTGCCATCCCTCCACCTTTACAAACAAACAGAACATCATTACAATTTCTCCCCTCTTATAAGAAGAGTTATTTAACTTTATCTGCATCCACAGTTTTGTGATTCAGCTGTATTATATTCAGACAGAACCATAACATAGGATAAAATAAGACCTCAGGCCAAAATGTTCCTACTCAGAAAACTTAGACAGTGAGGTGGATAGTAATAGTTTCTTGCATCCAAACCACTTGGAGGAACGTATTGTCACGTGTTGGGTATGTCACGCGACAAATAACTTTACGTGGGTCTCAGATTTAGCGAATCTTTATTGAACATTCACTCTTACACACCATACAATTATTATCACTTGCAATATCACTTGGCTTCTGACCCAGTACTCAGTACTCAACTATCCTTGGCCTTGGCTGGATCCCAACTGTCTGTAGCGGTGCCTATTTCAAGAGTGTCTCGTTCTCTATACTCTGTATGAAGTCTCTGGCTCTGCTTATATAGGGGTCATGCGGACCGGATACCAGACATCATCTCTCGCGGTTCTGTTACCGCTGTTCACACAGTCCGTTGTTACGAGAATGTTCCTTATAGATTACACCAGTAACATGTTTCGTCTCATCCGTTGTTACTCAACAAGAACTCGTTGCTACGATTTGTCACTGCAGGAACTCCACAATTTCCATGTATTCGTTGTCGTGGAAGTGTCCGTTCCAATTGTAGCGGGTGTCGCGGTGATGGATGTAAGGTAACGCGTCACAATATCTAGGGCATGTGCGTGACAAGCAGTTGTCAGTTTTATTAAGCACTTACAACATGATACATACCGTTAATTTTCCCAATAGATTACAAAATAATCATGCCTCAGCTAAGATTATCTTCCTGTTTCCCTTCATCCAATGAATAAAAAACTTCTCGGAATATTATAAGAAATGTATTCCATAAGTCTACTAGATCCAATCACGTGCCTTTTGCATTTAAAATGGATAACATGAACTTTCAGTTTAAAGATGCAGCTGATGTTTTCAATGAGTATTTTCTGAATATAGCAGATAATTTACAAACACATATTGATAATAGTAATTCACCTCCTGGATTATTAAAGAATGCTTATCAGACTGTTTTTCTGAGTATGAAAGTAATTCCTGTAACTAAAGGAGAAATTATTAGTATAATTTGTTCCCTAAAATCAAATAAGTCAAAAATATTAAAACTATGTAGCATGGCTGTAAGTGAGACTTTTTCTTATATTTGCAACATGTCTATTATGACTGGTGCATTTTCTGATCGTTTGAAGTATGCAATCATAGAGCCTTTATATAAAAAAGGTGATAAAGCTGACATAGCAAACTATAGACCTATTTCTATGTTGACAGTATTTAGTAAAGTTTTAGAAAAAACTATGTATCATAGGTTAAATCGGCATCTACAAGTGAATAATATATTGGTGCAGGAACAATTTGGTTTTAGGAAAGACTTATCAACTGATCATGCTGCTTTTTCACTTACCACTGACATACTTCAAGCCTGGAATGATGAACTTTTTTTGATGAACTTTTGATGATTTTTTGTGAATTCAGAACATCTTCCGATTAATATACAAGAGGAACTTGCAGATTTAAAAGCAGACAGAACATTGAAACTAAAATTTCTCGAAGTGCCTTTGGATATGGTTTGCTTGGCAATAAGGAGTGAATACCCGGCTATCTCCGAGATGGCAGTTAATGTGTTATTGCCATTTTCAACTACATATTTGTGTGAACTGGGCTTCTCGACATTAACTGAGATTAAGGCATTAAATTAATAAATCCATCGATGAAGAAATGAGACTTGTGTTGTCAATGATTCCACCACGGATCAGTCGCCTGTGTGCAGCTACGCAGGCGCAAGTATCACATTGAAGGTATGAGTAGAATTACTATATTTACTTTAATAGTAATAGAAGTGTATTTGCTACACTCTACAGTGAATTAAAGTTCATTGTTAATAAATGTATGAGTCGATTTCTGTTTAATGATAATAAAATAACAATATAATAATATTATAGTAATAAGTTGATCACGTTACGTATTTATGTTAATTATCCGATATCATGCGTTTTTGAGGGGAATAACATTTTGGTGTGCCGTGTTGAGTCATGGATACTTCATGGTGTGCCGCGAGTAGAAAAAGGTTGCCGACCACTGGTCTAGAATATGTGGGAACCTCAACATCTCACAACCCTATGGGCCTCCACGGCTTGTTACAGGGATAGCTTTACCTTTTTACTTTACTTTACCTCCATCATTTGTATTTAGAGTATAAGGCAGGGGGTGGTCTCCAATGGCATAATGATCTCTCACACTGGCACGCACGCACACACACACACAGAGCATGACCACCTTAGTAGATACATTTTCCTTCACAATGAAAGTAGCTTAAGATATAATTTGTAAATTCACAAGTGTAATTTAAAAAGTCTTCTCTCTATCTATCTGTATGCTAGTGTGGTCCCTTCCAGTACAGAGGCTTACCATAAACACCTGCAGATGGTCCTTGTGTTGATATAGGTGGCGCTCCTGCCAGAGGGAGTGCGTAGTGTGGGCCTCCACCAGCATTCACTGCGCAGCAAAAATACAGCATTACATTGAGGTGATGAGTTGTGTTACACAAGGGGTCCTTCTGTCACATAAACCCTGGATGTTGCAGAGTAGGACCCTTCTTTTTTTCTCTCTGAACATTCATTTACCACAAACATATGAAAATATGCAACACTCTGCTGCCTTGGATGTGAACAGAGCTATTGGTGAAAACAAGACCTATCTTATTTACACATCATTCTCATTTACATATAACCAGGCCTGTACAAATTCTGCATGCCAAATCACCACAGTGTCTAAACTTTTCCTGATGGCATTTAGAATTTCCTTTCTACTATGTTACTATTAGTGTTTCTTTTCTCTGTACTTTTCTATCTTAATCCCCTTCCCATATTTCTTCATTATTCCTTTTCAGTCCCTTTCATTCACTTGTCTTATCATTGTCTCCCCCTTCCTCCTTCCCTCCCTCCCTCCCTCCCATCCTCCCCCTCCATATTGAAACAATTCCCTTGCTCCTGTCCTTCCATTCCTTTATCGCCTTCCCTCCTGTCTCCTGCCTTCTCTGTATCCATCCTGTTGTCCTTCCTGTCCTAAGGTCCTAGCAAAGGCATGTTGAGTCTTCCCTGAGAATGACAGAAACTGGCCATTATTTAAGTGTAGATGTTTCAATTGCTCTTTTCTTAATAAAAACCAGCAAATTTCTCACCCAAGGTATTTTTATTCTTATTCTGGCTCCTAGCTTTCTTAGATGACTCTTAGATTTATAGGAAATTTGTATAGATCTTCCCATAACTTTGAACAGACATTCATTAAGAGTTTTGGCTGCTTAATTCCCTTAACATTCAATATTCAAGTCTCTGTAACTGTTTGAATTAAATTCACGTCAGTGACAGCATTTTTACACTTACCTGCATCATGGGAATATTGGCAACATTTTGGTCAACTGAGTAATGGTTTATATGAACTGTTCTTCAACTTTTATTCTAAATATGCTAAATAAGTATACCATTTTTGTTATTATGTGTAATATGACACTGCATTGTCAGTATAGTAAACAGTCATATGTCACTGTTTCTAACTGGGAACTGATTTCTCAATTTTCCAATGGAAACGTCATTTCTGCTTTTTCCATTGGCATGTACTGCCATGGCCATGACAGTTTCAGATGAAAGTCAGCAAGTAGGAGGGTAAATCTGTTAAGATGGTTTGCAATTTTGTCTCAACTGCAGGCAGTATCTATAACCACAGCAGAGAATTTGGAGATTCAGCTGTTATATGGAATGTTTATTTATATCCTTTGTTAATCAAGTATCTGTGGTCTAGTGGTCAGAGTTCCTGGCTACAGATCCAAAGGTCTGGGTTCGATTCCCGGCACTACCAGTTTTTCTGAGAAGTAGTGGGCCTGGTACGGGGTCCACTCAGCCTTGTGAGGATAATTGAGGAGCTGTTTTAAGGAAATAGTGACTCTGGTCTAGAAAAGCAAAATTAACGGCCGTGGGGATTCACTGTGCTGACCACAGAACACCCTCTATCTGCTAAAGTTGGCACTAACTTCGCCGATAAGGGGCACCCGCTCAGTCAGTATAGTTCGCTTACAGACTAAAACCAGAGAGTTTGTTTGTTTGTTCATCACATATGTTAATTATATAAAATAAAAGTGGAAGACACCTATAACATTATAGATGATATTGAAACTGTGCCAGAAATAGGATGGGGTGGCTCAGGATAGGTGCCAGTGACGTCCTTTTGTGAACATTATAATGAACCTTCAGTTACCATAAAATGTTGGGAAATTCTCGAGGAACTGAGCAACTGTTGGCTTCTCAATAATGACTCAGCTCCATGGAGTTTCTCAGCTATTTTAAACTGTGCCATCTTATATAGCTGTATGTTTGAATTTAATAAAACTGCCTCCGTTACTGACAGTTGTACATAGAGGTAGAACAAATCATCTGTAATATTAGATTTCAGTCAACATTACCAAAATATGAAAACTGTTATGGCCACTGAAAGACTCGCAACAGGAGATACAATAAATGTGTGTGTGGGCTTGTGATTTATGTTACAATGTTGTCAGCATCTTAGATTGTATAGTGTATAACAGTAGAATTGGTAAGCTAGTGGTAAAAACTATTCCTGTAACAGGCTGTGTAAGATGTCAAGGCTCCCACATTTTCTAGACAGTTGGGTCACAGATGGCAGTGAGGTTGTCAGCCTTATGCATCGGCCACCATTTACCCTTCAGGAAGATTCATGATACTCATTTCTGTTAGAGGCTGAGTTGACTCCAGGGCCATAGTGCGGCTGGATGGATTAGGCAGATTGGTGAATAATAAATTGCTAAGGATTTGGAAGGAAGCAGTCATGGTGTGACTGAGGTGCTGTCCTAACATCCCATGAAAACCATTTGTCAGCATATCCAGTGTCCTAGCTGAGATTTGAACTGAGCAACTCCTGAACAGAAGTCTAGAAGAGTACTGCTACAGCAGTATGCTTGGTATAGCAAATATATCAACAGTGTGGTCATAGATGGCAAAGAACCTGAATGTTGTCACACTTTGAAGGGGTCAGACAGGAAGTGTTTCATCCCTTATGTTCTCCAACATAATAAGAATAACAGAAGCACAAAATAGTATAACACCAAAAACTGTGGTTTCTACGTGTGACAGAATCTTACAGAAACTAAGAGATGAATTTTACCTGTAGGTTGGTTCACTTCGGAGCCTATGGCATGAGTATCATTCGGTTTCACGACCACAAGTGATGTCACAGGTGTCACGAAGGAGTACTGCCAACACAGGAAATATATACAGTAAACCCTCACTAATCCAAAGCAACTGTGGGGAAAAGTCATCTGGATTAAGCGATAATCCAGATTAGTGAGGCAAAAGGTAGTCCTAAAAGACAAAAACTTAAAACACAAATAACTAGAAAATTTAATGACATGTAGTGCTCATGGAAATAAATACAAAAAAAAAATATATACCACTATAGAGCTTTTATTTAAAATCTATTAAAAACAATGCATTTATTCAACAGCAGAAGACTTAGAATTTCCTGCTGTGTGTTTCAGTCTTACTCATCTTCCCATGCTGCTTTATGAACACGTGTACCTTTTTCTGCTCTGTATTTTTCTTATTAGGAATTTGATATTAATAAGTAATTTGTCACTCCTGTTGAATATGCATGTTCAGTGTACATTGTACACTTCTACAGTCTTGCTTTATTTGGGATGTGTTCTGATATGAGCTTCATTTGTTGCTCAGCCTACACTGAGTCTGTGCCATGCATACACCAACATGTTGTGGGTATATATAGTTGCAGCTTCCAATTTTCTGCCTCCTAAGTTGTCATGCTGACACCGCTTATGATGACTGGGTCTACATTTTCTCCTTCACTTGATGGAATAAATTAAACCTAATGAACTGAGGTATGGTGAATGGGAAGGCCAAGAAATCAGTCTTCCCATGCCCATCCACTTGTTTGGACACTGAGCATTCAGTGTGAGATCTGAGGTTATCACAGCAGTGATTGAGAAGAGTACCACATTCTGGGATGTATTGCCATGTAGTCTGGCAGAAATTTTCCAACTTCACAGTCAAGGACTAGGCCTAAGCTGAGGAACCAAGAAGCAAACAGAGTTGAAGAATCATCAAGCAGATAGCAAGCAGAGACTGCTGCTTCTTTGCTTTGCTTGCTCTTTGTCACTGAAGATGGAGTCAGTACATTCCTCCAAAATGAGAGAAAACATAGATCAGACTACATGGTGTCACATCATACAAGATAATATTCTTTGTGGGTATTCACTGCTTGCTGTAGAATGTTACCAGATGTAGGGCGTGAGCCACCTTGCAGAAGACTCAATTAATGTGCCCCTCAACTTATAGAAATTAAGCGACAATACTGTTCTTTTCTTGTCTCAAGGAGTATAAATCCATTGGATTTTTCAATTTACCTAATCCTTCGAGCTGCACTATGGCCCTGGGGTCAACTCAGCCTTTAATAGAAATGAGTACGAGGAATCTTCCTGGGGGTAAAGGGTGGCCAGTGCATAAGACTAACAACCTCACCGCCATCTGTGAGCCAACTGTGTAGATAATGTGGTAGCCTTGACAACTCCCAACCCTATGGGCCTCCATGGCCTGTTACAGGATAGCTTTACCTTTTCTACTGCTACAGCAATTTTACCTTGTCTTACTGTACCCATGGCACAGTATCTAGTGTTTTGAAATTGATGGCACGTGGGGAGGGGGTTTTGAGAATTCCCTAGGTTACATATGGAGGGGGGGGGGGCTGATGAGCTGCAAAAATTCTGAATGAGGAAAATTCTAATTGAGCCATTTGAACATAAAGAGTAGGTATATGAATTATTTGGTTAGTGCTGCTAAATTTTGGGACTCAGTCCATCATCTGCTATTTTAAAACAGAAAACAGTGTTTTGGGTGGTGGAGCTGCTGCAGTGTTCAAGTGAGCACAAGTAGTCAGCTGGCTACACATTAAAGTGAGCAAATCTCAACCTTAATCACTGAACCTGATCACTGAGGTTAGCATTTTCAAATATCACAAACTCAGAAGATATACTTCATCTGAGGATTGGAGCAGATCCATTGCCCAAAACATTGTATTCTGTTTTAGAATACCAAATAATGGACATATTCTAGAAAGTTATTTAAACTAAATGTCAAATATTATCAGAACCCTTGATAGGAAACAGACGTATTCTTTAGGATGACTGTGTTCTAATTTCAAATAATATATATTTGTAGTAACTTAATAACACATCAGTAACTGCGCAGTACTCGCTTTGTGAAACATTGTGGTACAAGCTACAATTATCCAGATGGCTTAGTGCACATATGGCAGCAGTTCGCTTGTTGGTTGGATGCATGCTGTGCTACACTTGCAGCTCACATTGATAAAATACACCCACAACAGAACAAGATGAGACACTTATTTTGTCACAACTTGTTTTGTTTTTGTTTTTTTTCTTTACCTCATCACATCCAATAAGTATTTAAATATGAAAATGCCTTATGGAAACTCCAAATATGAGGGCAACAAGATACCTTTAATGCCAGCTCAAGAGCCTTCTTCTTGGAGTCCTTGCTGTCTGTTGGGTTGATGTCATCTTCACCCTCCACTTCAGGGTCCTCCAGCAACTGCTGGATGGTGAGATAGGCCCAGGACCGTTCCAGGGAGGACACCTCGACCAATCCAGAGGATGAAAACTGGGATGAGCCATCGAGAGAGGAACCGCTCACATGCCCCAACAATGAGTCTGGAAGCACGTACTCCTTAAGCTTGCCGGCCACTACAAGTTCAGCGCCCGAGAACAGCGTGGGGAAGATGTGCCGGGTCATGGACCGCTCTTCTACCTGCCATATGTTCAGACAGTGTGTCACATTTTACATGTCACTGGTCACCTAATTTATAGCCATTTGTCTGCAGCTGTATTGTTTATTGATTTAGTAAACTGCTTTGTATCTTCGGCAAGTGAAGAAAAGTGGGGTATTCTGGAACATCATTTTTTTCTCGAAGATCTTCTTAAATAAAAGTCAGAATTAAAAGAAAATATTTGAATTTACTTAGAAAATGTTATACTCTTTTAATGTGTTACTTACCAAAAAAACATACAAAATTCTGTTTGAGATTGATTTCTTTTGCAAGTCATGTGTAGTGAGGGTAATATGGAATACAGAGAATATTATCTACACTACATGTAATATAAATGAGTTTAAAACTGTTTGCATCATTATGATATTTAACCGTATTTTATGCCGTCCTTTTGTGAAGACAATGGCAAAATTTAGGGTTTCATACTGGCAAGGAATTCCTTGATCTGGTAAATAACTGTGTGCTGTGCAGTATCGCTGTCAGGTACTGGGCTCACAGTTTGGTCAGCTGTGCCCTATTCCAATATACCATAACTTATCGTGATGTCATAGCCCCCCATCTCCTAGTCCTTAACATATCAATTTCACCTGCACATGTGTACTGGTTACCAGCTCTGCTAGGGGTCTCATGAGTGCAGGAATATTACTACCCTTACCAGAACCATGCTTCTGTATCATTTCTGCTGATTTATGCAGACTGTACTTTCGTATTCATGACCTATTGCTCCAGGTCTCTTTGTCTGATGTCTTTAACTCATTGGCATACCCTTCAAGTGTGTTTACTACTAAGTTATCTGGTTATTAAATTATTTTGTTAATTTACGCTCTTCTCTGTATTGTGGTCAACAAGTTGTGAGGGAAGGTAATGTATCTGCATGACCAGATATATACTTATATTTAGACACTCTTTCCAACTTGGGACCGTTGGAACCTGGAACTAAATTAGAGATAAGTTGGCCCATTTGTCTGAGAAAATGGTTCTCACTTCCAACTACAGCAAACCCTCGCTAATTCAGAGTAATTGTGGGTGAGATATCAACCTGATTAAGTGATAATCTGGATTAGTTATGCAAAAGGTAGCCATAAAATAAATGGAAAATTTGTTATAAGTAGTGCTGATGAAAATAAATAAGAAATTATCACTGTAGAGTTTGTATTTAAAACTGTGCAAAGACAATACATTTATTCATCAAGAGAAGACTCAGGAGTTGTACTTGTTTCGAAATGTAATGATTCAGATTTGAAGAAACTGACTCATTACATTTGAAAACAAGTACAACTTCTGAGTCTTGTTTCTGAGTTTTGTCTGAACAGACAAGTGACTCATCTGCCATCGTAAATGCCATGTACATTTTAGAGTTTGTACTCACCTGTGAACAGCAGTTTTCATATTTTGATCTGAATTAACTGTAACCAGATTAGCGAAGGTTTACTGTGTGAAGTATGCAAGGAATGAGGCCACGCCATAGCTCAAGCAGTTAGTCGCTGGCTTCCCACCGCGGTGCCCCGGGTTTGATCAAGTTCGGTCAAGTGGCACTGAGGCAGAGTTTCTCCAAGTACTTTGGTTTTCCCTGCCAATCTTCATTCCACCAATTGCTCCACAATCACCCTCACCTATCGTCTGGGGCTGGTACAATAGGCCAGAAGTGGCCGCAGTACAAGGGACTTAGTCCCACCCTACTGGCAATAAAAAAAATGCAAGGAATGCCCCATGTGAAGTTCAGTGATGCACTGTGGAGACTCACGTGTTGTGGTTGGTAGCTGAAGGTGACATTAGCCAGAAGTGGAGATGCCACTTGGCGATAGAAGTCTCTGAGCTGCAGTGCTGTGTCTGAAGCCTCATAGATCTTGCGTGCAAAACCAGAGTTGCGTAGTGACAGCTTCTTCAGGAAGCCAAAGTCCGCATCATCTCCGAGTGCAAGACTGAATATAGAGGCCTCAGGTTCAGAGTTCAGCTCCCGGACAGCGGCCTGGATTCTGTTGGGTCTCACTTCACCCACTGTGGGCTCACCATCTGTCAGGAATACAACAATGGGCTCTGGCTTGTCTTCTGTAGTGATATTTTGCAGGCCCTCATGTGCTACACGAATCGCTGTCTTCAAAGTGTCATGGATGTTGGTACCTGTTGGGCAGAGAAAGTGCTGCTGAAATACTGCATGTTCACTTGCCCTCCACCTTAATATTCTTTCATTGCAGATACAGTGTCAGAACTAAGATTGTATTGCTGACAAAGGTGTATATTGGCGCTGTCCAGCTTCAAACCACTGTATCTTAGGTTGATGGTGTTTACAGTTCAGGCCCCACAGATTTCATACTGCATATGGTCATGGAGTAATACCATTTCCATACCTTTTTAAGTCATATGAGGTGGAGTCAGTAAGTAGGTCACAATTGGGTATAAAACATGTGATATTTCAACCTGGAAAGAACTTTTATTTCTTAACATATCCTCCACCAACATTGATACACTTGTGTCATCGCTTTAGCAGTGCACCTTTATGAGTATATTTTGCATTCAGTCTTTTTGCCCCCCAAAAATGGTAGTATATTCCACATTCATGGTCGCCAGTTTGACTACTGAAACCAGCCTCTGAACATGCACATGTGCATCTGGCACCTAGACTCTCATGAAGCTGGACTGTGCTGCTACCTAGTGATACATCTAGAAAATCTATTATGTCCATTACAGCTGTTTTACTTCCATCTGTGACCTCTCCCTTATAATTAGGTGTCGTATGCAATCAGTTGAAGTTATACTGAATATTTAGCAAGGAGTTTTGGTAGATTCTTCAACAAGATTCACCGACTTTTTTTTTAGAGAGGAGGAAAGCATTAAAACATTTGAGAATGGAAGGTTATGTTACAATCCGCATAGAACTAACTGCTGCCAGTTGGACAGCTGTTTGCGTTTCATATTCCTGTTTCTTCAGAGGAAAGTTTTGACGATATGGCTTCCTGCTTTGCCTAGTGGCCTATAATCAACATTAGCAGTAATGCTGAGTAAGTAAGTAAGTAATGCTAATTCTGTTACTCCACAGAGCACAGCCATTGAAAATGTAGTGGTCACTCAGCTTCTCAAAAAATTTCCACCATTTTATGGAATGATTCCTATCTTGAACCAAATGAATTCAACTGACACTTTCCCATCCTATTTCATTAACATCCATTTTAATATTATCCTTCCAGCTATGACTAGATCTTCCTTTTGACAAATCTTTGTCAGCATATTCACATCGAGCTACTGTATCTAGAGCTCATCTCTTCCATGTACAACCAGAGAATGTAGAGTGCTTTGGTGACATGTGACACAACACATGGTATATTTACTGCTTATAGGTCTTAGGCCACATGTACAAAAGTCAATACACCGGCTAAGATTTCGAAAGTTTGACAATGATAAAGAAAATCTGAAGTGAAGCCCACATGTGAAGACCATTGTAAAGAGTGGAGAAATTTCTGGCTTAGAACTGCAAGTTGTAAGGGAAGGTGTTGGCTTTGATGACTGATTCGTTTTGGAAGGAATTGTGTGCAATTCTGTAGGCTGTAACAAAATGAAGAGATGCAGTTGGATAGACTGAAGATATGAAAAGTACAGAACTTGTAAGGCTGAAAGTTCGTGCACTGGGAGAGAACACTTTAAAGAGTTCTGCCTTGAATTGCTTGATATTTCTGTTGTTCCCATCATTTTGCCATAAACTTCCACATCATAAGTAAAATTGAAAGATATTGTTGTGCTTAACGAGGTATCACGCCATAGAAACGTATAAGAAAGTGAATGTGTTGGTCCATCCATTTTTTTACTTGGCACTAGATGGAGGTGATTGGTCAACTTTAAAATCCATATGCCTTACCCTGGAGTAAGAGCCCCAAGTATGCATTTGATAGGAGGCTCTGTGGACTCCATGGCCCGTCTGGATTCTATGGAGTAGAGAAATCTCTTACCCCTACCAAGAACTGAACCCCAGTGCCTCAGTTGTCCAGACCACAGTCTTATCACCATACTGAGCTCTGAACACATTACATTATAGATGTGTCCTTCCAACGAGATACCTTTGAGAAAGATAAACTGCAGGCATGTATATTTGACAACTCCTGACTGTTAAAAATGAAGACTGCTGGATTACATAATCTCAGTCGATAATCAGATAGTCCTTGGGATTACTAGGTTTTTGGCCTTCTTACAGTGTTCTAAAGGACACAATATTCACATCCAGGTAGTGAGGTTAGCTCCCAACCCAGTTTCCAATAAGTTACATGTTACATGTCATCATTAGAGCCCTTCAGAATTTACTTAAGCAGTCTGCCATTCTGATCACATGCTCACATTGTGTATAGCACAGGAAAATAATGGCAGATGCATGAAATATCAATGGATTTCTCTCTACATTTAGTGCCTTTCTGTTTTTGGATGTTAACTATATGACATTAGACCAAGAAGACTGACCAAATATTGATGAACTGCTAATGAACTGTTCTGTTTACTAAGAATGAATTTTTGCCGTCCAGGTGACCTATATGCATTGCATTGTGAACTGAGCACACAAAACAATAGCAGTAGGTTAGACAATGGAGTACACTTTATTTCTTGTTTAGTAGTGATTTTATTATGCTAGACAGTACATCAGCTATTCACAGACTTCAAGAAAACCTATGATTCAGTTAGGAAGGAAGTATTATACGATATTCTCATAGAATTTGGGGTACCCATGGAACTAGTTAGCCGGTCACAGTAGCCACGTGGTCTAAGGCATGAACTGTCTTCACTTGTTTGGATGCTGGGATCATGGATTTGAATCCCAGTCAGGGAATGGATGTTTGGTGTGTGTTAAAAGTTAAAGTTAAAGTGTATGCGTTTATTCTGTGTTTGTGTTGTCCTGTGTTTAGGTAGCTGTTTTGTGATGGGCTGATCATTCATCCAAGAAGTCCTATCATCTGTAAAAAAGATTGCAGAACTGAGTAAGAGGCCAAGGCCCTGAATGGTCTGGAAGAGCCATTGAAAAAAAAAAGTAGAATTACTTAGGCTGATTAAAATGTGTTTAAATGAAATGAATAGTAAAGTCTGTATAGGCAAAAATTTGTCTGATAATTTTCCTATCCAATATTGTCTAAAACAAGATGTTTCATTGCCACTGCTATTCAACTGAAATTAAATGGAACACATCAGCTGCTGGCCTATGCTAATGATGTGAATCTACTGGGAGATAATATAAAGAAAAACACAGAAACTTTAATTGATGCTAGTAAAATGGTTGGTTCTAAAAGTAAACACAGAGAATACTAAGTATATATTTTTGTCTCGTCACCAGAATGCAGGGAAAAATTGTGACATAAATATAGCTAACAGAGGCTTTGAAAATGTGGTACAGTTCAGATATTTGGGAATGACTATAACAAATCAAAACCTGATTCAGGAGGAAGTTAAGAGATTTAATTTGGGTAATGCTTGCTACCATTCAGTCCAGAACCTTTTTTCCTCTCATCTGCTGTCCAAAAACAGAATATACAGGGCTACCATGAATGATTCATTCGTTTTTAAAACGCTATATTTTCCAAAGTATTACACATACAAATACGATTGATATATAAAAAGAACCGTAAACTGACCAAGTTTGTATTATGTGCACCAGTTGGCAGCACAAGTTCAGTGCCTGTACAAAATGGCGACAAAGCAAGAAAAGAGGTTTTGTTTGTTGGAATATGCGAGAATTTCGACTGTTATAGCAGTGCAACGCGCATTCAAAAGAGAGTACGGAAAAGAACCATGTAAAAAAAGCATTTTGCGGTGGTATCGGCAATTTAAGGAAACTGGTTGTCTGTAAACGGAAAAGCACCGGACGACCAAATGTGCCAGATGAAACAGTGGAGAGTGAGGGAAAGTTTTGTGCGTAGTCCACAAAAATCAACGGTCCGAGCAAGCCACGAACTTGGACTACCGCAGCAAACTGTATGGAAGATTTTGCGACGACGGTTACATTTCAAACCGTACCGTATGCAGTTCCTGCAACAATTAAAACCGGAAGATTATGGCCGGCGCCTGGAATTTTGCGTCACAATGCAGGAAGCATTGGAGGATGAAGATTTCGCCGCCAGGTTGATATTCAGCGATGACTTGTGACTTCTTCCTTTGGGGGTACATTAAGGATCGTGTTTACGTACCCCCACTGCCAAGAAGACCAGTAGAGCTGAGGGAACGCATCGATGCTGCAGTGATGGAACATTGACAGGATGATGCTACAAAATGTGTTGAACGAGCTCGACTACCGCCTGGACGTGTGTCGTGTGACCCATGGGGCACACATAGAACATTTGTAGAGTGTGAAGAAAACTTGGTGAGTTTACGGTTCTTTTTATATATCAATCATATTTGTATGTGTAATGCTTTGGAAAATATAGCGTTTTAAATACGATTAAATCGTATATAGTAGCCCTGTATCAGAATATACAAAACTATAATTTTGCTTGAGGTTCTGTATGAGTGTGAAACTTGGTCTCTGACGTTAAAAGAGGAACATAGACTGAGGGTGTTTGAGAACAGGGTGTTGAGAATATTTGGACTGAAGAGGGATGAAGTGACAGCAGGTTGGAGAAACATAATGAGAGCTTCATAACTTGTACTCTTCTCCAAGTATAATTAGAATGATCAAGTGAAGGAGGATGAGATGGGCAGGGCATGTAGCACGAATGAGGGCGGAATGAAATGCATATAGGATATTGTTGGGAGAGCCAGAAATAAAGAGACCATTGGGAAGACCAAGGTGTATGTGAGTGGACAATATTAAAATGGATTTTAGAGAGATAGGATGAGTTGGTATGGATTGGATTGATCTGGCTGAGGATAGGGACCAGTGGAGGGATCTTGTGAACACGGTAATGAACCTTCAGGTTCCATAAAATGCTGGGAAGTTCTTGAATAGCTGCACAACCAGCGGCTTCTGAAGGACGGCTCAGCTTCTTGAAGTTAGTTAGGCTTTTCTTGAGTTCATTGGATTTTTACAAACATCTAATAAGATGTAACATACCAGTAATGCTCTAGACATGTACTTCATAGGTGCCCATGACTTTGACATTGACTGTCCTGACCCAGGTTTTTCATGGTTTTACTCAGTCCCTCCAGACCAATGCCAAGATGACACTAGAAATTAGACCATGACCTCTTCCTTCCACATCCTTTCCAATTCACTGTTCATTTATCATCCTGTCACTTGACACTACAGGACCATTAAATAAACTATAAAGGAACGTGATTCAGATTGCCACAGTAGGTGCCCAAGAGAAGTTAAAAAAACTTTGAGACAGGGGAGGTTGGATAGATCTGCAGTCAGGTTACACAGCAGCAAGCTATATACACCTGTCTCCATCTACCATCCTTCATGCCCACTGGCTCTCCCTCAGGTTATCACGACATATGTATATATGTTCCAAAGAGAGTACTTCTTGAGAAGCCAGAAGTTGCTCAGATACTCATGTAATTTCCTCATTTCATGAAGCCTCAAGATTCATCACTGTGTTCAGTACAGCCCACCACAGGTCCCTATAATAAGCCAGATGAATCCAGTCCTCATCCTCCCACCCCTTTGCCATTATCGAAGTAATCCATTCTTCCTAACTGTTTCTTTTCTTCATGTCTGCTACCAAAACTTTGTATGCACTTCTTTTTCTCCATGCATGTTACATGCCCTGCCCATCTAATTGACTACGACATCCTAATAAGATCCAGCATGGAATAGAAATTACAAAGTTCCTCATTACACAGTTTTCTCCCTCCTCCCATTACTGGCCACCCCCTTAGTTCCAAACATTCTCCTCAGCATCCTGTTCTCAAGTATCCTCGCTTTTCCCTCAGCTGCACACTCATACAGAACACCAGAAAGAATTATAGTTTTTTTATATTTCATATTTACATCTGTTCATAGATATTTTTAATTTCATAAAACCACTTAATAGACGTAACTAAAATATACTGATTTACACTATGATCTGTCATTCAAATTTAATTTGGTTTGATGGTGACAGACATGGCAGATGGTTTTCAAAGTGCACCTAGAGTTGAATCCATAATATAAAATACAGGTAACACTATGTTCTGTGTATTTTGTCTTGTGCATTTCTCAGCTTTTTGACGTACTTCGTCTACAGACGCTGTCTGAAGGTCAGTACTACATAAAGAGCCTACATACATTTTTTGGCATATCATCCTGGGTATTAATGGGAGAAGAAATGACCACAAACATTTTATGATGCTGTGCTGTCTGGATTATAGTGACATATGGTACAGTGGTTAATGAATTAAAAAGATTGGGAAGGGAGCAGCTGGGACCTAATCAAGATTTTCCTCTAGGGACTGAGGAAAATCATAAAAATAATTATTTGGAATCCTGGCTAAGATAAATTGTGTACAAATATTTGTAACATACAATGCTCATATTATGAATTCCGACAATTTTCCGGTTATATTCTTCAATCAGTTTTAATGCATATGACACGCATGCACACACCCACCTGCGCTCTCTTTCCCTCTATGTGTGTGTGTGTGTAGGGGGGGGATGATATTAAAATGGATTTTATAGAAATGTGATGGGGAGTTATGGACTGGATTCATCTGGCTCTGGATAGTCCTTGCTAACATGGTAATGAATAGTCAGGTTCCATAAAATGTTGGAAATTCCTGAATAGAGTTGGGTGACTGGTGCCTTCTCAAAAAAGAATCAGCTATATGGAGCTAAATTAGTTAGTTAGTTAGTCAGACTGTGACATAGATCAGGTGGGTTAGTCGCTGGCTTCCCACCCTGGTGGCCCAGGTTCAAGCCCAGTCCAGGTCATGTGGGATTTTTGGTGGACAAAGTGGCACCAGGGCAGGTTTTCTCCAGGTACTTTGGTTTCCCCTACCAATTTGCGTTCTGCCGATTTCTCCACAATCACCATCTGTCATCTGGAGCTGGTACAATAGGCTAGTAGTGGCCGCAGTACCAACTGGACTCAGTCTCACCCCATGACAAAATAATAATAGTTATTCAGTATTCTGTAAAATGTTATTCCCATATTTAGTAGGTCTGCTGTTTAGAGTTTGAAGATACAGTCTTTGGAGCATGAGATTATCTGCATAAAGTATTTAAAAATTCGGGTGCTGCCTCAAAGGGAACACACAGCATCTCCCCTACAAATCTCAGCTGGTTAATGCTGTTTAAGGATATGATTGGTGTTTATTATGGGAGTCGTACAGAATACACAAATACACTGCATTGGCAAAATGGAGACTTCTTTATGCTAATGTAGTATCCACCATCTGTTAAATGGTGAAGGTCTGCAGAATACTGTGGGCTGGCAGGAATGCCCTGAGTTCATGCGGTGGTGAGGTGCATAACTCACAGTGGCACTACAGTGTAGGACTTACCTCCACCTGCTCGCATTTTCTTGATGATGTCCTTTGCCTTCCTTTTGTACTCCTCTGTGGCTGGGAAGGCCGGGGTATGTCCCAGCTGGGGGCTGGAACTGTCCCCATATGCATTGTAAGGAGAGAACACAGCACTCTGGGATGTTGAGTCAAGGTTCCACACCTGCAAAGCAATATTAGTAATCCATCATTCTGGCAATAAAACTTGGGCCACATCACTGGACCTAGTCTTGAGACAGCTGAACTCAGAGTCACATCACTGGAACCTAATCCCTTAAAGCCACAGGCTGGATTACTGGTGTTTGATTCCTGTGAGGGTCAGGGAGGTGTTTTCTGTTTCCACGGCATCCAAAGTAATGGCTTCAACCAGTCCCTGCTGGGAGTAAAGCTGCCAGAGCAGGGAGTTGACCACTCACCTCCAGCTCACTGGTTCTTCAGAAAGCAGCGATGGCAACTAATGGAGGTTGTTTTAAAGCATTTTGTGATATATGAGATTGCTGAGGCAAGATGCTGGTACCTCCCTTCCCAGGTACATATCTCACAAGACCATTGTGCATTGTGCACTGGGTGCATTTGGAATTATTGTGCAAATTGTGAGATCCTAATCTTTGTGGTTGTCCCTGTGCCTAATTAATTAAGCACTAAGCCATGAAGGAATATTGGGGAGTGGAGGTATAACTCTATCATTCTTGACCTCGCCATTGGACGGAGATGAGTGGTGGCTTCACCCCCCAGTACCCACCAGATAAGAGGCTGGGTGGGCCCCAGATCTAGGTCCAGAAGTTATGGAGAAGAAAAAATCTTGTTCATACCAGGATTCGAACCTTGGCCGTCCAACCCACAGCCCATCGCTATACCGACTCCTGTTTGATCCTGATACAGGATCTAAAAATTGTATTTGATATGAATTGTTTAACATATGTACAATCAATATTTGTAAGATCTCAGATTCTCTCAGTGGTGGGATATAATTCTGCATAGTCCGGTGAAAGTCAACTATGTTTTGGTGGAACATGTTTGCCTCCGGCTGAAGAGCTAAAGAGTCAGCATGAGACAGGAGGCAAGCAGAGCATGCGCAATTTGGCGAATTTGTATTTAGATGCCTTCTATACAAACTTGGAAGTTAGAAGTGGACATATGTACAGTGAGGTAAATAAAAGGTAAACTTATCATTGTGGTTAATGAAGCATTGCCGTAAAGGCATAAGGGGGAGTGGAGGTGTATTTCCACCATTCTTGACCTGGTACTAGGGGGAAGTGAATGGTCAGCTTAACGCCTCGGGCGCTTTACCCCCCCCCCTCCACCCATTGTATAGGAGGCTGGGTGAATCCCAGAGCCAGTCTGGATGCTGTGGAATGGAGGAAAATCTCTATACCTTGCCGGGAATCGAACCCCGGCCGTCTAAAATGTCATTATATGGACTGTATGATTACGGCTCGTGGACATGTATGTGACGTGTTGGCTTATTACGAAAGTTTTCCCCTCCGTCGCTCTACGTGTCATTACCGTCACTGAATAGGAGAACTCGACGATGTTGAAGTAGTCGCCGTCGTTGAGGTCGTCGAGGATGGCCGTCATGGCTTCTTTCAGTTGCTCGATCTTCCTTCCGTCCATCGAGCCGCTGACGTCCAGAACGAAGACGACGCGCTTGTGCAGCGGCTTTAGGTCTGTCGGGGCGAAGAAGTGCACGAAGTAGCCATCATTAACCTGTAATTCAGTTTCAGATAGTAACAGTTGTAAAGTTGGCCCTGTGCCTAATTAATTGAGCACAATGCCATGAAGGCGTATGGGGGACTGGCTGTATAGCTTCACCATTCTTGACCTCGGCACTAGATGGGGGTGAGTGGCGAGCATCACGCCCCGGCCGCTTTACCGTCCTGCGAAAGTGTCCTTGGTACCCATTGGATATGTGACAGGGAAGGCCCAAGAGCCTAACTCGACACAGTGGAATGGAGTGGAGCGAAATCTCTTGCCTCTGGTGGGAATCGAAGCCTGGACGTCTAAGTAGTTACTATAGGATTCTGACGATGGTGGATAACACACAGAGATACTGGGTTCTCGGACTTTATCCATCGTCCTGGTTTTTTAAGATAACTAAGAAAAACACGACGTTTCGGAAACTGGATCTGTTTCCGTCCTCAGGTGAGGGTCCCCTCAGTCACAAGTCGGTACACCGACTGAGCTATCCCAGCTTAAAACGGTACTGCTCATTAATGAAATTAGTGGTTTGCGGTTTCTTTTACGACGTTTAATCATCCTTCCAGCCGCACTAGGCCCTGGGGTCGACTCAGCCTCTAACAGAAATGAGTACCAGGAATCTTCCTCGGGGTAAAGGGCAGCCGGTGCGTAAGGCTGACAACCTCACCACCGCTGTGAGCCGACTCTTTAGAAAATGTGTGAGCCTCGACGCCTCACAACCCTATGGGCCTCCACGGCCTGTTACAGTAAGAGCCTTACTTTTTTATGTCAATATCTCTCATTGGTTGAGAAAAAAGGGAAAGGACTTAGAAGGAAGCGGTCTTAGTCTTATCAAGGCATTATCCGGTCTGTTTCTGCTTAACATAGATGCTAATATCGTTTGCGTCTCCACGGCTGCTTTTGTCAAGTGGTATTTTCCCGAGGGGTTTGCAGCTGTGTTGTGCCCCCAAGCTCACATTCGGAGTTCCGCTCTAATATTATCCTCCCGTCCGTACCTAGGTATTCTGTGCGGTCATACTATAATTTTGTGTGTATTCCTGGTCCACTAAATGTGCTACGTGCCCCACCCATCGCATCCTTAATTTGATAATGTTAATGACATATGGTGAAAAGTGCGAGAACCTCAGCCTCCTGATTCTTCCTCTCTCCTTACTTTCAAACGTTCTCCGCAGCTTCAGGTATATTGTGGCGTGTAGAGCCGTTGCCGGTAGGTGGCCTCGGGTGGGAAAACGAAACAACATTCGCTGTTAGTAGGCAACAGATTTTTAATTAGCAAGTATAGGCGGCTGTTTCTAGGTACGCCTTTGCAAACAAACACGTTTCCATGGATATCGCTGGGGTAGCAATAGAAGAGCTGTGTTTCCTACGTGCCCGTGCCGAGGGGTTATAAGCATTAGGGCTCTGAGTCTTAGGAGGCGACGAATAGGGAAGTCTCGAATCTGGGACAGTTAATTATGGTTGCGAATCCCACGGGACTCGGATCCGAGAATGACTGCGCTGGCAACGACCAGCAGCAATTGTAAACGACAGACCCATCCGGTCGCCAGAGACAGCGCCCCGCTGACAGTAATAAGCTCCAGATGGGTGCTTTATTCCAAGATAGACTGGCCGACTGACCGTCGGCCGTAATATAAGACTCAGACTCAGCTGAGAGTCAGGCTGTGAAGAGAAGACTTTTTGTGTGATATCTGGAGTGTGTGATCCAGTTATAGTGCCCGCGTTAAACTCCGATACCAGGAAACGACAATATAGTGCAAATTGTAACAGGCTGAGAACACTAGTCTGTGTGAGAGAGCAGTCTGTGAAGTGTATTAACGAGTTGTATAAGCAGTCAATAAATCAAATCACCAATCCAAACCCCATCTATAGTCACACACACCTCTACACGTGAAGGGATTCACACATATACGTACAACACGAACACCACACAGCAAAGTCGCTTCACAGAAGCCGGTACCCCTCGCCCCCCCCCCAGGCTGATCGAAAAATTCCACACTATTTATGACACCCAAAGGTTCATTACCGTATTCACAAAAGAACGACACTCAAGGGTAAGGTAATTTCTTATATATTGTCCTGTAATACGGTTCGTAGGTGGACTGGATTTACTCGTATCTGGCTCAGAGACTTATCAGTGGGCTCTTGCGAACAGAGCAATGAACGTTTCAATTCCAAGGAACGGTTGAGAAAGCTACATAATGAGGGCCTTCACAATTTTTTGTCCTTGCCCGATATTACTAAGACGAAGCAGGAATGTAGCATGCATGCAAGGGAAGAGAAATTCGTACACAAATTTTGGTAGGAAAATGTGAAGGAAATGGACCACATATAAAACCTAGATACTGTAGCGCGTAGAGCCGTCGCTATGCAACGACTGCGAGATGGGCTGTTTCCGAGCAACGGTTCCGTAAACATGTTGTCGTTGCTAGGCAGCATATTCTTAATATTGCAACAGTTGGATTACGACAGTGGAAGAGCTGTGTTTTCTATTGTGAAGAGAGAATTTGAACCGGAGGCAGAGGAATAGCCACTGTTCTAGCCGTTACCAGGAAACGTCTAATAACAGACTTAGAACGCTAGACTATGTGCTCTAGTGAACTTTAAACTGTTGAAATGGCGATAATGATATAGTTCTTTGTAGTTCCGACCTGTAAGTGGTCAGTAAATCTATTCACCCATCCAAACCCCATCTATAGTCACGTACATGCTACGTAACAATATGCAGAGGACCGTAATATTAAAATAGATATTAAATAGGATGGAAGGGCGTGGACTGGATTCATCTGGCTCTCGATATGGGCCAATAGTGACATCCTGTAAACACGGTAGTGACCCTTCAGGTTCAATAAACTGCTGGGGATTTCTTGACGAGACGAGCAAGTGTTAGCTTCGGAAGCACTCTGCTGCGTGGCGTAAATTAGGTAACTTGGTAAGATCCGTGACTCTCCTGTCACCAAGCCAGTGGGTGCATTACCACTTCGGGACGGAACTCACCAGAACCTCGCCTGCTTGAGGGTCCCTCTCCACGTCATATTGCACCACGAACTGTCCACTGAGTCCTGCTCCTTCCTTCTTATCCCCAAACTTCTTGGCCAACTCTCGCTGCTGCTCCACCGATGGAGAGAACCACACCTGTGCCTCCGTGGAACTTGGTCGTTCGATCTTCGCCAGAGAGTTGACTGCAAAACATAGATGAGGAGAAGTTGCCTCAAGCAATTTATTTATTCATTGAGTTACATATTTCTTTCTTTATTTGTGATGACCAGGGCCCGGATTTTGATGACATTTCATATTTCTTTCCTTGTAGCTTATGCGATGCCCGTAAATGTATACACTTGGTCGTCGACTTACTACCGACTTCCGTTCTGACTGACTGGTCGTAAGTCGATGTGGTCGTATGTCGGCCATATATTTATTAACAGTATTTTTTAACCTTTCTAACTTTTTTTTATCATCTCTATAATTTATTTTTTAAAACTTTTACATTTTAATCATCTTTTTTTTTTTTTTTTGTGGTCGTAAGTGCGGCCGGTCGTAAGTCCACCACCAAGTGTCTTATTTTATTGCAATTGGGTGTTCACCCAGTGGCAGTAGAACTTACACTGATACAGACAAGGAACGTTTATAAGGGAATACAAAACAAAATACGTACATACAATAAGGTACACATAGTGCAAATCCAAACATATAAAGTTATAAAAGGGCACGTGCTTGTGTTCGTTTCACTGCGCTCGAACAAGGACTCTTCACATTACTTCATTTGATTCATTTGACTCCGCCTAAGGCCTCTTTCTAACTGTTTAGCTTACAGGGGAAAGACGCTAGTATCCTCTATGGCCCTATTTACAAAGGAATATTTGCCAACATCTGTTCTTTGTTTCCTGCTTCTAACTTTCCAAGTATGATATTCTCTACTCCGGTAGCACGGTTGAAGCAGGCTGTCCCCTATCGCTCTCCAAGCCGGTCTCCTGGTGTACGCCTTGTAAAGGGCTATCAGTCTACGCTGTGACAGAGTTTCCCAACCAGATTCATCTGTAGGATTGTTACAGAAATGTAACTTTTATAGGGCAATTTTGCTCACTTTTCATTTTTAAGTTTTATGTCATTTTTTTTTTCGGTTTGGGGGTAATTTTTCAGTAAATTTTTGGACTTTTAAGGGTTTTTGTTATTTTAGCCATTTTAGGGAATTTTTCTTCACATGTTTTCAGAAATGTGAATAATATGCAAGTAAAGTGTTCTTTCTCATTACCTGCCTCTACAAAGGCGGCCTGCAGCTGCACCCCAAATGCCTGCGACCACAGTGTGCAATAAGATGATGTAATCCTGTCCCGTCCTTTCCATTCGTTTTGCGGAAAGTCCTGACATTACATATCATAAAACATTTTAAGCTGGCAGCAGGGTACCACAGCGGTCACTCACACTGCGGTCCTTTCCAAGCTTTGTGCAAAGCAATTTGCCTAGTTACAAATATTTCTAGCCGGAATCCCTCGCTTTTTATGACATACTGTTGCTCGGTAGAACTCCGTCTGTCTTCAGTTTCTCGCCCTTGACCGTACAAAGCTGGAACCCAAAAGTTCATTACCGTGTTCGGAAGAGTCCTCCATTGGTCCCTTTCCTGAGACAGATCAGTCTAATACTCTAATGCATACCACTCCATCCTAACTAAAATCCACTTTAATATTATCCTATCATCTTCCTAGTGGTCTCCCTCCTTCTGGCTTTTCAATCATAATCCTGTACGCATTACTCTTCTCTTCCATGCATGCTACAAGTCCTTCCCATCTCATCCTTCTTGACATCATCATTCTAATTATGCTTGCTGAGGAGCACAGGTTATGAAGTTGTTGTTGTTATTGGAGAGGGTGGGTTTCCCCATGCACTTAGACCAGATATTGGTCCATTGTGCGTCCCCCTGTGATATTCTACCGGTCTCTATACCCTACCGCTACTGGTGAGTGCCATCAGTCCCGACTCAGCCAGCGAGTTCGGCTTCTACTGGCTCAGCGGTATCTCGATGCTTCCCCCATCTACCAGAGGCGTTAGAAACTACTGTTGGGCGGGAAATACACAGGTTATGAAGTTCCTCATTATGGAGTTTTCTGCAATCTCCCGTCACTTAACCTCTCTTCGGTCAAATATTCTCAACACCCTGTTCTCAAACACCCTCAGTCTATGTTCCTCCCTTAATGTCAGAGACCAAGTTTCACACCCATACAAAACCACAGGCAAAAAGCAGAGAAAAATTGACCCTTATAAAGGTCGTTGAAGGCCCGCTATTTTAAGTACCTTAGATGTTCATTTTGGTCGACTGTTCTATACTGTTTGCCTCTGTCTCTTCAAATTTAGCTGTCGCAAATCATAATGTGGATAAGATTTGAGGCTTTCACGGCGGTGACTATGAAGAAAGCAGTCTTCTGGGCTTTGGCGCCGTGTATATGTGGTGTTAACCGACGTTTCGGAGGAACGTATCGCCCCCATCTTCAGGGTTGAAGAAAAAGTATAGGTAAATCTGCAAGCGACAACACCGTGAGACACGGTAACGCAGACTGCTTTCTTCATAATGTGGATACTTCAACCATCTCCTACTTTTCCTTACTTTCGAAGCCCCTCTTAGCCACCGTTACTTGATCCCTCCTAACAGCGTGCCCCAAACATTCCAACCCCATAATCACAAGGCATAAAACTCCACATCTTTAAGCTGACCGTTACACCACGGTAAAGGAAAAAAGGTAAGGTAAAGCTATCCCTGTAACAGGGCATGGAGGCCTATAGGGTTGTGAGACGTCGAGACTCACACATTTTCTGGACAATCGGCTCACAGAGGACAGTGAGGTTGTCAGCCTTGCGCGCAGGCTGTCCCTTTACCCCCAGGATGATCCCTGGTACTCATTTCTGTTAGAGGCTGAGTCGACCCCAGGGCCATAGTGTGGCTGGAAGGCTTAGATAAATTGAAAAAACCAATGGGAAATTCTTGAGTAGCTGCAGAATTGGTAGCTCCTCCAGAAGGGCTCAGCTCCATGAGTAAGTAAGTAATACGTACACCATGACCGAGCAAAAATCGAGAATTCTCATGATGGGGGGTACTCATGTTTGCTTCGTTTACGGGATGTGTAGGGTTCAAATCTCGATGCGGAGACCGTGTATCTTAACTCTGGGTTTCAATGGTTTCCGTCAATTCCTTCCCCACTTCTTCCAGTTCATTGTTGATTAATCATAGAATTTGAAGCGTCTTTGAGCTTGCATCAACATCACAATTATTCAGTGTCACAAGCTTTGTGAAAGATGACAGTGCATCATGCAACCTTTAACCGATGCTCGCTGGGAGCGATAGACTGGAGGCATTTTTGAACGCACGGGCATCTTTCTTCCGTGAGGTTTCCTGATCAAGACGCGATGTACGCTCAAAGATGTTTCAGTCAGTCTGTTACAACCGACACNCTGCTTGGGGGGGGGGGGTAATATTGGTCAGTCATTTATTTACAAATGGATTAAATAAGATATGTGCAGAGTATAAATCCTGTACTTAAACACCCGCGCCAATCCATGTCTTTTTGCAGCTCCCGGATTTCCGAAACTGATTATGTTGAGCCGCAGTTAAGTCTGGCCACATCTGGTATACAGTCTAGGTATTGACAGCTTTGTTTATCAAACCGTACACAGCATAAGATATGAGACTAAGGTCAACTGCCTTATACCTTTATTGTCCTGGTCAGGGTCTATCTCGTTTCCGGAACGCAGTTCCGGAACCCGAAGCGTCGTCATGTTCCTACGCTCGCTGATGGACACGTGGACCTGCAAGTCTCTGACCTCTTGCCCGGGGTGCAGGTTGATCACGTGAGTGTACTGCCCCAGTCTTCGCGTCAGAAGCTCCTCATACGTCAGGTTGAATGTCGCTTTCTTCTGGGGCTCGACGTTCACGGACACTGTGAAGCGATTCGATTCCCGTGCGCTGTAAGTTTGCTTGCTTCAGTTTTACAACAGAGGAATTGGCTCTGGCTTCATGGCGCCAGTAACTTCAAGCAAGAAACATGTTAGGGGGTTCACAATGAAAGTTCTAAGAATGACCCTTTCAGCTTCTCCAGGTCTGTCTGTCCGCATGTAACAACTCCAGAACAGCTGGATAGTTTGCATCAAATTTATTTTTGGGGGGGTCATTAAAATTTGTGGATATGTTCCAGTTTCACTTGAACTTGGACAATAGCGGGCGTTTTATACGGGGACGTACATGGAATTTTTGAGCAGATATCAAGAACAATTCTGTGAATGCATATTGGCCCGAAAAATATTTGCAACAGAATATAAAGGCTGCTGAAACATTTCGTTCTTAAGTCTTACGGTTTTCGATATAATTAAACAAAAATTATATTTATGCTGTTCCAGCTCGTAACTCGAGAACCTTTGGGCTGATTTTGGTAGAAATTTACATCCACTGGTAACCAGGGTGCGTCATACGTTGTGTAGGCGAACTTACGGAAGGCAAGCCCTGTGGAAGTGTGTTTTAATTTCCCGCCGGTGTATGAATGCCGGAAGTATGCTGAAGATGGAATCTAGTGACTTTCTGACGATGCCGTAGCGGTCTGCGTCACGGACTGACAGCTTTATTATTCACTTCCAGATTACTTGAGGCGTGAAGCACAGTGCTTGTGCTTCTTCCAGTGCAGGTATCGCCCCTATGGTCTGACGGTTACTGGATACACGGCAACGTGGATCGAAGCCAGTCACCGTCACAGGAAGTGAAAATAAAGCAAATTGTCACGATGGCAATCAGTTACCGGAAGGTGGGAACAGATCAAACTTCCGATATCCTTATTGGCATGTATACACAGTTACACAGATATACATAAGGCGTTCCTAGTTAACCCAGTTTTCTTATTTAAAAAGGGCTTATGAGATCACCTTGCTGTCTGTGTGCCCCCTAATTTTTCATTTTCTATGCACTCCGTGTCGTACAAAGGCAAATAGGCGATTAGTTCTTCCCAGAACTTCTTGTGCATGTTATAAGATTACCTTACTGTCCGTCCATGTCCTCTCCCTCCCCTTAATTTCTGAAGTTTACAAGGCCTGTGCCTGTGTGTCCCCATATCGTTTCCAGGCAAAGAGCCGCCTGTATGTCTGCCCCTAATTTTTAAGATTTCTATGCAGTACGTGTCGTATCAAAGGAAAGTAGGCTATTAGTTCTTCCCATAACTTCTTGTTTTACTTTGTGAAGACAACCCAATAATCGTATATGCTCGTAACAAAATAAATCGTGCATAATTTGTACGCCCAGTCTCCAGGGTGAGGTAAAACTGTCCCTGCGCCATGAAGGCTACTGGGAAATAAGTAGACCCACGTTTTGACTTCGCACTAATTTAAGGTGAGTGGACAGTTTCACGCCCTGGCCACTTTACCCCAAGGGAAAGACCTCCGGGTACCCATTGGATAGGAGGCCGGGTAGTTCAGAGAGCCGTTCTGGACGACGTGGAGAGAAGGAAATGCTTGCCCCTACCGGGACTCGAACTCCGACCCCTCGATCATCCAACCCTTAACCAGTCGCTATACCGACTGGGCTAAAACTGGCTCAGAAATTAATTAGATAAAGTGACCGCTTATTAAACACCTGACAGATGAGACTTTCTGGCAAAATTCATGTTGTGGTTTTCCGGGCTATGACGCCGTGTCACCGAGCAAGTCAACCTGATCCTTAATGCTTACTTGTGCTCAGAAGGTAACCAGTTCGAATCTCGGCCAGGAACCTATTACCTTGACTGAGATTTTGTGGTTTTTCGGAGCCGCTCCAGGCATATGGCCAAACAGTGTTTTAAATTAGGTCACGGCCACTTCCTTCTCCATCCTTTCCATTCATTATTCACGATCATAAATCATTCGGCGCTGTATAGTGTGAGTTCGCTTAGTGGGGGGTGGAGTCCAACTAGGCCCACTCGGCACGGCGGCCACTGATTGGCCTATTGTATCCTGCCCCGGGTGATTATAATGGAGATTTTGGTGGAATGAATATTGGCAGGGGAAACCGAAGTACTCGGAGAAAACCTGCCCCAGCACCTCTTTGTCCACCACAAATCCCACTTGAGCAGACCCGGGATCGAACCCGGGCCGCCGCGGTGGGAAGTCACCGACTAACCGCTTGAGCTATGGCGCGGCCTATAGTCTGAGTTACTGACAGCGTCATTAGATAATAATTATACGGCATGTAGTCTGGTAACAGGGTACAAACGTTTCGAAGTAAAATACTGTCTCCATCTTCAGGGATACAGCATGTAATTCTTACCTAGAAACGGAGGCAGCATATTCCTATGAAACGCTGATACCGGCGTACAGACTAACAAGATGTCACAATCTAAATATCTGACAGATTGATCGGTTGCACTGTAATGTTTACCTGACTTCAGTGTTGCCATGCTGAACTTACCTGAGAGCCACGTGTGCCGCAGTGTGCCCGCTAGCCACAGCTTGCTCGTACTCTCGCTTTGCTGCCTCTTTCTCTCTCACGTATGCTTCATACACTTTTCCGTCCACCTCGCTGAAACAGGGGAGCAGAGGAGGACCTCAAGAAACCGGACTGCTGGCTAGAGGTCACAGGTCAGGGTCAGTCGGCCATTTCGACACAAGTTTTCCTGGTTTTCGCCTGCCTCCAAGCAAATTCTGAGGTGCTTCCCAAATCCCAAGTGGCTACTGCGTGCTTCTCATGCGGCCCTCCCTGCTTATCATCAGATATAACCCAGAGGCCCCAAATTACTTTGCCACAATCACAGTTCACTTACTTGCGAATTTATACAAGTATTTTGAAAAAAGTAAATATTTTAGTCGATTGCGCCTCTCGATCCAGTAATCAGATGAATGAGACACTAACACAATTATTTAATGTAACAATGAGATGGAAGTTTTGAAATTACACAATTTCGGGTTTCCATAGCAACACACTGTCGAGTGTCAACATAAGTTACGTAACACGTCACGAACGAGCGAAGAGTCTTTTTATTTTATCGTGTCTATTCTGTGATTATTCATAATATTTTGATGTGTATATGTAAAGCGTAGTGTGCTGTGAAGATTTAAGATGGACTATTTGTGCATGTTTTTCGTGGTAGTTGGCGTTAAACGTCATTCTCGACGCACCATTCGATAACATGTGAGACTGGAAAGGAATACGGGAGGAAGCAAGAGAAGTTAATAATAGGACAATTTGTATAGCAAGTGACGAGATTTCCCGTTCAGGTCTCAACCGGTGTTACAATGGCTTCCTTGTCCTGGATATCAGCTCCGCGGACAGAGTTCTGTTATGCAAATTCCTTTTGAAGTTAATGAAATTAGCACCAATTGACACTTTACTATATGCACCACTTTCCTTAACGTTAGAAAAATGTCAGCATTTTGTCGAAATAGTGTATTTATGTGTTCCGTACGGTACTCACAACAAACAGCGACTGTTTCCCTAAGCAGCACTAACCGGTTGGGCTCTGTAGCGGAGCCGTAATGTGTTTCTTGTGAGGTAGGAATTTATTATGTAAGAAATATTCTGGTGAAATTCATGTTTCGAATTAGTTGAACCAGGATTTCATCAAACTAATATTTAAATATTCACTTTCTACTTGGAAGAAACACTATAGCTTTGTCACAAGGACCAACCGGTTAATGACGTTTAGGAAAAAAATCGCCGTTTACTGTGAGACCATACGGAACAAACAAATTCTGTGGGCAGAATGGTTTTAAAGCAGGTGGTACTAATGGTAACGGCTTTTATACAACGGGGGGGGGGGAAGGATGAAAGATTTCTCAGTGTGATATATAGCACAGAATCCGTCTATTTTTGCACCGTTGTGTTACATAGCAAGTGGTCAGTAAAACTATGAAAAAGTAAAAAGTAAAGCTATACCGCGCCATAGCTCAAGCGGTTGGTCGCTGGCTTCCCACCGCGGCGGCCCGGGTTCAATCCCAGGTCATGTGACGTGGGATTTGTGGTGAACAAAGTGGCACTGGGGCAGGTTTTCTTCGAGTACTTCGGTTTCCCCTGCCAATTCTCATTCCACCGACTGTGCACACTAATCATCTATCATTCGGGGCTGGTACAATAGGCCAAATAAGGGGCGACGTACCAAGTGGACTCAGTCCGACCCCACTTCAAGAAAATTATAAAAACTCTCCTGAGGAACCAATTCCAGTAAATCTTGAAATCTGACCACAGTGAGAGCAAACTGGTGAAGTACTGTACTGAGGTGGATGCCAGACAAATCGCATGACTCCGTTTAGCTTTTGGAAATGGCATTCAGCGCCCTCTGTTCTCTTCAAAAAAGAAAACCAGCTATAAAACTGGTTGAAGGGTATTTTAAAGCGAAATTTTCAAGTGACAGTGAGAACGGCATAAAGCACTTCTCATGCTTTAACCCATAACATAAAGAGGAAATTTGTATAAAAATTCTATGATCCTGAATTTTAAGGGATTAGTTCATAACCACAAACGTTAAATGTTGACGAAACCGACTTAATCGACAGGCCAAGACATACAGAGCAAAACGACATGAAGGGAAAACTGTAAGTGGATATGCTCAGGAGGGGTGAGAGGGGATGTTTGAATTCAATGTGTGAATCCCGTTGTCACGAGCCCCCTAAGGGATGGGGCACGACCAGGTTCTGTCTCAGCTAGCCACTCTGGGTGGGTGCAAACGGACAATTTTACCAATATTTGAAACTTACTCCCGAAGACCCAGTGTTGCAGAGCATGACACCCAATACGAATGTAAAAATTACTGAGAAGGCATGAAAAACAAATCGTATCGCAGTTTTGTGTGTACTGCCTCAACACATGGTATCGCGTCCAACCTTTGATTTAGGGTTCATGTTCTTATATAGGAATCCCATTTGTTCTGACACACGTCTTTGAGTTCTTTGACTTCTATGTAACTTTTTCGTTGTCTTATTAATTTTCTTGTAGTTAAAAGTAACGTACGCGTTAAACATATTCTCTTTTTCAGCTTAAAATGTGTCCTTTTCTTTTTGAAGTAGTTGCTTCCTTCCACAAAGGTTTTCATATTCGCCGACTTTACCCTACTCTTTATTCATCATCATTAAGTAACTTCACCGATTAGGCAATTCGATGTGCCCCGACTTCAAGGCCAAAACCGGCTCTTTCGGTACTGTTATGCACTCCTTATTGGAAAACACTAAAGAATTGAAAATGGTGCCAGTACTGTATACATTGAATTCAGCCCTTCAGTTTTGTTTCTAATTCTCCTCCAAGTGCGAATAATTCTTGTCTAGTTCATTTATAGAGAAAATTCACCCAGCCAACATTTGTTCCGAGCGCCCAAAACGTGCGTCCCAAGGTGAATAATTACTGAAAGAGCTCACATCCTTCAGGGAGTTACTCACATGAGGAAACCGGAGATGAATGCAGTCTCTGGTAGAACCACGCTGAAGAATACTTCTTGCGACTTGTTGGCGGGGTTGGCAAGCCTGCTGTTGACCACGGTCCTGGCGTATCGGGATTTTATCTGAGATTCCACTCTCAGGCTGTATATTTCCGGCTTGGGCAGTCTTGGAGGCTCCTGAAGCAAAGAGATGCCCCGCTAGACTATTTATTAGCGTTGAGGACCCTAAAGCAAAGATGCACCGCTAGACTTATTTATTAGCGTTGAGGACCCTGAAGCAAAGATGCACCGCTAGACTTATTTATTGCCGTTGAGGACCCTGAAGCAAAGAGATGCCCCGCTAGACTATTTATTAGCGTTGAGGACCCTGAAGCAAAGAGATGCCCCGCTAGATATTAGCGTT